TTCTGAGTCCTTTACCACTATTACCTAAATTAACTACTACTATGAAGTACTAGATTATTGCGCTGTTCGCTTATTTAATCTAATCCGATCATCTCCTTGTGAAGCCCTTCTCTGGCTTTTGCCAGGAGCCGCAATACAGCCCGACCATAAATATGGTCTAATGGCTGAACGCGGTTTCTGGGACCTCTCCACTGGTGATCCTCATCCACATGGTGGCACTTTGTGTCATCTGGTGTTTATCGCTTGTGTAATGTCCTAGTGGGGTAAAAATCTACTGGTAGTCTGGTAGTCTTAGTTTCAGCTTCATAGCAAACGGGTTGCCCCATCTTTGCTCCGCTCCTGTGCCAGCGAAAAACACTCAGAATGTCTATCACAGTCCCTTGTGGAAAGATTGAAAGACTGCTGTCTCAGCATATCTAGCATACACTCGCATTAAAGCATATGGTAGCCATCCGAAGTGCTAACACAAACAGTCCAACATTAGAAATGCAGTTCATCATTGATGATAGCAGAACTTGTCGTCAACAGATCAGCAGTTGTCCGCGTGATCAATTTTAATACGGGCCCCGCCAGCATTGAACGACAGGCATCGCGCCATTTTCTGAATCTACAATTCACACCACCACGTTGGTCACAGTCGAAAAAAACATTCCAAATGCAATCCGCAGCTCACAGGGTCACGCCATGCATTCAACTCAGAAGCTGGGCGACGAAACTATATCCAGTCTACAAATGGAGCAGAAATGCATCGGCCACCGTCCGGCAGAAGCAAAAAATTTGCCTCTGTTCCGAACGGCGCCGCTGTCTAGCGTCCATTTTAACCGGAAGTGGTCTACTACTACTACTACGTTGTTCGCCCCCACCCCCTAGAGACATGATAAATCGGTTTTCGATTAATTAGTTTTAACCGAAAGAGCAGAAAATATTTATTTATGTGAAAACTGCTACTATTACAGTACTACCGGTCTTACTGTCACCACTTCTACGACAATCGTTGTGATAATTCGGTCTTCGGTTTCTTTCGGGTATTTGTTGCCATCGATAGTCCGCGTGAACTGTCAAAGGTCAAGGCTGCAGTGCGACTTGTGAACTGAAAACACAGTTTATCTGTCATGATGAGGACGATGAACTGTTAGCTAACAATTGGAGTAGATACCATCATTGGACAGGTTGTGTCCATTTCTCTTGTGTGCGTCATGGACTCACACCCACCAATTGATGCACAGGACAGCGTCGACCAGGGGGCTCAAGAGCTGGTAATTTTTAGATCGTCGTCATAGAGTTGATGTTTATTTTCATTATTTTTATGTGTGTTGTGAAGAGGCTAGTTTTGACTTTGAGCCGTGTTCGAAGTTTATAATAACATGCTTTAACAGTTCAGTTTTAACAATAAGACTGTCTGATTTGAGGGAAAGAATTTTCCTTTGATTATACTTATTAAGGTGCCACTTTGAGACCCGTACTGTAAGTTAGTCTTGTTGAGAACTGATGATGGCATCATTCTAAGAATCGCTAGCAGACAAGCCGTAACTTTTGGCTCTCCTCCGAACTTCTACCCCGGCCAAGCCTGAAATACCCTAATAGGGCCTCAGTCCTGTGAAAAAATGCGGACTTGTCCGACTTCCTGCGAGGAACAAATCGCGGCAAAACTAGGATTACCAGACAATTTCAAGAGACGCAAAACTGCAGACGATAGTACCAGACAATACTAGCGACCGTTGACAATTTAGAGCGTTTTTGCAGACGATACTAGCAGACCATACTAGCAACTATTGACAATTTCGAAACACATAACATTACAGATGATAATAGCGACATGGCGGGAAGACCACATGCTTAGACGCAGATTAGCGATAGTGTTCTTCCAATTAAACTCACTGCCGACAGTATCCCCCGCGCCGCTACATGCGGCACGGATGGGGATCTAAACAAGATGCCTGGGACTCACAAGCAAATAAATTGGAGGAAGTTGCAGGAGATGCGGTAGCTGCTGCTCGTGAGTCCCAGCCATCTAGTTTAGATCGCCATCCACGTCGCGTGATTCTGTCGGTGGTGCGGCATAGCCGCAGAAACAGTTCCGTATTTAACATATCACTGAGGCCCTGTTAGAGAATTTGTTTCGTTATTCGGAGCTGTTCCTAGTTTTGCCGCAACTTGTTCCTCGGCAGGAAGTCCGCATTTTTCATAGGACTGAGGCGCTGTTAGGGTATTTGTTTAGCTGCCATGATGCCGGGGTAGAAGTTCAGAGGAGAGCCTAACTTTGTTATTTTTACGTTCTTCTTCTTCTTCTTCTTCTTCTTCTTCTTCTTCTTCTTCTTCTTCTTCTTCTTCTTCTTCTTCTTCTTCTTCTTCTTCTTCTTCTTCTTCTTCTTCTTCTATCTAATTTCAGTTAAAGGGAGATGCAAGAATCTAATCCGTAGGCTCTTTATAATACATAATAATGCATAAGTTGTTCACCATTTCTTTAAGGCTGGCGCTGTTGTTCCATATTTTGCATGTTTTCCCCCATATGGTTGGATAATCATTCTCAGAGACCAGTTTTTGTCCGCTTGAGCCATATGTAATGTAAGTATCATGGCTAAACACAACATTAATGTGTCCAATACACTGTCAATGTAAGGGGTTACACAAGTTAGGACTAGTATTTTTAGATCATTATTTAGTAGAGTTAAAGTGAAAAGTTAAACTTTAAAGGATCAACTTCATTGCACCGGGCTACTTTGTATAGCTCCGTTTCTTGTAGTTGATCAGTTAGCTCCCTGTCCAGAGCATTGCTTAAAGCACAAACTCCTTAACTCCAGCAATGATCCCCAGGATTCTCTGCAGAAACTGTACTCATGAACTGAATGACACATACATGAGCACAAGTCAAATGGCTTGACCACAGTAAGGTAGCTCCACTTTTAGTTCCAAGCAACACTGATTTCATTTACTGTTTTTGTGACATTCTTTCTTAACTCTATTCCTTTATTCAGTCCATACATTCACGCATGGTGTCACAGTTTGTACAAGGCTGATTTTTATACAAAACTAGCGTGAGATGTTTGAACTGAAAACACTAGTTGACCAGATTGAAAATATAGAATTGTAGCAAAAAGCTAACTACAACTTTTGTTAGCTGTTGTTGTCCTTTTGTATTTTGTGCTTTACTAACACCAACCAGTTCATACTTAAGGCATCATCATCTGCGTTTTAATGGGAATTTTTTTGCATTGTCATATCATCTTTATAATTATTTGAAAACTTTATTAATTTATTTAATACCAAGAAACTGACTGTATTTATTTTAATTGTTACATTAACTACTGCTACCGAAAGGTCTGTTAGAACTCCTATGTATATAACTCTATGTACAAGTAAAACTAAAAAAAAAAAAAAAATGTGATGATAACTTGAAAACTTATAACTTATTTTTACTCACACACTGTTCATTTATTTTCAACATAATTTCCACCAACATTAATGCACTTGTCCCATTGTTTCATCAGACCTCCCAAACCTGCTGCATAGGACTGTACTCTCTTTTTAGAACCACATTTTCACTTCACATTCAGCTTCTGCGTCATTTGCACAATGTCTCAATGGGGGGGGGGGGGGGGGGGGGAGGGATTAGCGGACCAAAAAGTGGAAATCGCTAAGGGCTAGGTCGGGGTTGTAAGGTGGATGTTCCAGAAGTTCCCATCCTAGATGGTTTATTTTCTTCTGAGTTAACTTAGCCGTGAAGTCTGGAATTGTCATGAAGGAGTAGTACTCTAGTCAGCAGGCCTGGACATTTTCTTTGAATTGCATCATGAAGCATCGATAGAACTTTACAGTATGAATCAGCATTCACATTGTCATTCTTTCTTTTTTTTTTAAAGTTAGTTAAAAGCACTCCTTGACAATATCAGAACACTGTCAGCATAACTACTGATGGCATAACCTTATATTTTTTAACACAAGGTGAAAAAGGATGTTTCCATTAAAGTACGCTTTGATTCAGGCTGGTAGTGATGCACCTATGATTTATCCCCAGTATTAATCCTGTTGAGCATGTCTTCTCCTTCATCTGCGTATTTACAGAGATGCTGCAAGGACAGGCCTAATTGGTACATTTTGTGTTAGTCCATCAACTGTCTGGGTACCCACCTTGAGCACACTTTCTTAAATTGCATTTCAGTCGATCTTATATCGTATGCTGAATGCTGTGAGCACCTTGTTGCAGCTGCTACAGAGTCAACCATTACTCGCCTGTCACCTCTAATCATCTCCTCCACCTGCTGAACGGATGCACCTGTCGCAGTTTCAACAGGACTACCATATCAGACTTTATCAACAATCATAGAGAGTCCTTGATAATTAAAAAAATTTTTTTTTTTACCCAGCTGTGTACCGCTTAATGTGATAAACATTTGTCAGCATAAACAGACAGCCCTTTTGCACCCCCCCACCCCCTTCCCAGAAAAAAGAAAGCACAACAGCACATTGTTCTTTGAGGGTACACTCTGTAAGTAGTCACAATTTTGTTTCTGAGTTGTGAATGCGCATGCAACACCTAGCACCACCTAACAAACGGAGACATAAAGTTCAATGTTGCTGTCACCTAATGGCACTTTTAGAAACCACCAACTACATTTTCCTGCCATCCCATAACCATTTGTGACTTACTTATTGACTTTCCCTCGTAGTTGAGTGACCCAGGGATAGAGTATGATACTGTACTTCAGTGCTACTTTAAAATATGAAAAAAATTCTTAAATACTGTTGAGAATATGAATAGGAAGGCCTTAACGTTCTAGGAAGAATAAGGATGTTTACTAGGAAGGCCATAATGTTCTAGGAAGAATAAGGATGTTTACAGTTTGCTATTTAAACAAGAAGTATACTGTTTCTAGTCGGAACTGTCAGGTTTATTATTGTTACCCTGTATCATGAATATGGTTTATTTTTATATAACTGTTTATACTTATTGATTTAATATTGGCTTTCATGACAAGACATTATGCTTTCAATATTTTCAGCCTCCAGTCAGTGCAGCCCACGTCTATGTGTTGATGAAAAAGAATACTCGGGTGTCAAGGAATATACGAGCATGTTGGTTCTTCAGGCATTTGAGAAAAAGTGTGACCTTCATACCAGCTTCTTCAGTTGAGGTTAGTTAGAGCTTAATTTAACCCACAGTCAAAGAAACAAAATGCAGTCCAATAACCATTTAGAGATGAAAATAAGAACATGTTAAAAATTGCCAGATTTTTTTTAATGAGCAGCCAAGCTGTGGTTTTGATTCAGCCACAAAAAAATATGCGAAAGCCAAACACTTCACAGCCCAACAGTAGAATGTGCTAAAAGACTAAATTAACTTTTAGTGTTTAAAAACATTTTATATTCATTCCTTGGAAACAATTTTTTTGTGCTGTAAATTGTGTAATACATTACTTTCTTTTAATGCCAAGAAGAGGACTGAAATGTTGTGTGAAACCTTTGCTGCTGTATGGATGTGAGTCATGGAAGAACAATTTAGGATGAGCTTGTAGGCAGCGAATGTGTAGTTTCCGAGATGTTTGTTGGAAATCATTTGGGCAGCCAGGATATTTATGAATGATCACCTGGAGAAAGCTATTGAAAGTACCACATTATACCTGGCTATAACAATTGTCTGCCTTTTCCCACAATGAAGGTTGGCTCCAGTACCCACTGCTGTCTTTTGGAATATTACATGGTAAGGCTCCAGTCTCTTCCATGGTGTGACTCTCATACCATCATACTTCCCACTTCCCAGGTGGGTTCCGGGTCCTCACTGTGGGGAAAACAAGAATAGACCACACTTCCTCCCCACCAAGCATGTCGTAAGAGTCAACTAACTGGGAGCTTCCTTCGAAGTCAGAGGGCATCTGCCTAAGAGGCAAGGAACCAGCAGTCTGCATACAGATAAGTCAGGTGTGTAAAATTGATGTGCACGCCACACTGGAACAAGACTAAAGTCCTGAGGTAGAGGAATACCTAGAACTTTCCGCCTGAGTTTACAGCCGGTAAATGAGAAAAGAAAGAGAAGATGCTGTCATCAAAAAAACCATGACAGAGGTTAAAAAAAAATAATAACAAACCATCCACTACGGAAATCAAACTCTATTATTCAAAGACCATGAAACTGTTGATTGATTGATTGGCACCTTTCCATCTTTCCAGACGATAGTGTTATATTGCGCTATGAGGAGGCATGGGACTCACAGCCCCTGGCGATCCTCACCATAGCGCAAAACCTGGGCATTATTGTAGAGTTCATATGTTGCTCATGCATCGTGATCCGTCCCTCAACTTGCCTTGTTTACTGCAAAGGAAAGGTAACAGCAGTATGTTTGGAACAAAGCAGGCTGCAGAAGCTGCCGGATCAGAAGAGAAGTGCTCCATCAGTCCGTCTGTTGGAGCTTCCCTCCTTGACCAGCTGCCAGCTAAGGCTAAGGGCCTGGTCTACCCTGCGGTAACATGAAGTTTTCATGTTGCATTTCCTCTTCCTAGGATAAGGCTAGCATCCTCCCCAATGGACACCTCCACCTGAAGCCTATTGCACAAAATGGGATGTCAAGTTTGGTATACGCTGCCCAACATTTGGCATAACAGAAAACAGGTGGTACCAGCTACTGTTATACAGTAGCTCAGTCATATCTGACCAAGACCTGACCATGAAACCGTAAAACTCATTCTTAAGCCATAGAGCTGCATGTGCAAAGCTGTAGCAGTGTGACCAATATCTTTTGGTTATGTGATTACATGAGAGAACATTGAAGGATCGGCAGCAGAAGAGGCAGATCAAGACACAACTTATTGTAGTCTAGGATGGTGGCATAGAGTAATATTATTAAAGGTAAAATTGGGAGGACTGATTTCATTGCATCAGGTTTTAACCCATTATAGCTCTCTCTTTCTTAGCAGAATGGCTAGCCACCTGCCGAGAGTGTTCAATGTAGCAAAAACTGCATAGCTTTGGCGATGATCTCCAGGAATTTTCATAAAAATTGCCCTCATTAACTTAATGACAGAGCCTTGAAATAAACCCATGACCTTCAGAGCACTAGGTGAATGGCTTGACCACTTTGCCACAGAGACACTTGATATCAAAAGAATTATTCCAACACGAAGGATCAAGATCTCTTTAAATATATGTCTGTGCCATGGCAAGGTGCTTGTTGATATTGATTATCTTTTTCTGTTTTTCTATCATGGTTTTAATAGTTATGTCCCACATGTTGCTAGTTAGTTTTCTTTGCCATAACAATTCTGACAATCTTAATTTTAGTTTTCTATCATTTATGGGGATTTTTTTTAGTGTTTGAAAACCTAAATCAAAATCTTGTATTAATGTTATGCCTTAAAAACGTCATATGACAATAAAAATGTTGTTTCTGAGAAATCATCTTCTGCAAAAAAATTCCAAAAGGAAGAAAAATAAATGAGGCGTATTTCCAAAACAAAACAAAAAAAAATAAAGATTAAGAGAATACACTGAAGATGTTTGGGAATGTTATGAGGCAAAACAAATTTTAATACTTAGTGACAGTCAGCCAGAGAGATAAAAACCAGGGTTATTGGACCACATGACATGGTTGCACAAACAGCATTCATAATTATGCTGATCTTGTGAGATGGAAAACTATAACCAGCTATGCCTATTGACATGACACATAAATATGATGTTTTAGTCCTACTGAATAGGCCAGAATTTCTTGCGTATAATAAAACTTTCCTATCCAGTCTTCTTCTTCTCGTTCTCTTCCTCCTCCTCCTTCTTCATTTTTCTTCCTCTGCATTTGCCCTTAAGATGCTCATGGATGCCCAGTGTTGTAGTTTACAGTTTAGCTGTCATATCTGCATCTTTTGACTGAACTCTTCTGATTTTTCCAAACTTTCAGTAATTCAACTTGTTTGTTAAGCCGCAGTGGTTCTACCCACCCCCTCCACATTCCCAGAAACTGGACTGAAAATACACAGGGAAAACACAATCAGTTATCTTGATCTTGATCTCTTGGTCTGGTTACAGGGGTTGACAGAGGACCTGACTCTCGTGTCAGTGATACCACATGACAGTGATGTCAAGCTGCTGCTGGGACAGACCTACAGAATTCATATAGGTCCAGACACGGTGGTGACTTTTTTATCCTCCCAGTACAGGCTGTCTTTCACACTTGATCTGAGTCCATCGCTGATGTCAGTGGTAAGTTTAGTAAGTAGTAAGTAGACGTGTTTAATTTGTCTTGTGAAAATTGTTATAAGTCTTTATAAATTAGAGATCATGAGTAGACATGTTTAATTTGTCTTGATGAAATTGTTAGAAGTGAAAATAAATTAGAGATCATGAGTAGACATATTTAATTTGGCTTGGGAAAATTGTTAGAAGTGTTTATAAATTAGACATTCTTCTGAGTACAGCTGGATATGATTAGAAGAAGGTGTTAATTATATGGAGGAAATGATGAGAAGTGCTTGTCAGTTATATTGAGGACATTAGTAGAAGGGACACTTTTGGAATTATTTGTAAATTATATTGAGAATCTGATTGTTTTCACATTTACAGGACATACACAATGCACACTATGTGTACGAAGGCGTGTTCAAGTCTTTGAGCAAATGTTTACGCGCTCTTGTCCTCCCAGTAAGTTTGCGTTGTCATTAGTTAACATTTGTATAATATTAGCTTCCCCCCAGTAAGTTAACATTGTCAGTAGTTAATGTCTCTGTAATATTAATTTCTGTGGCACCTTGTCCGCCTAGTAAATCCTTAGAATGATTGCGTTTACAAGGTCTTGGGCTTCAGTAAGGTAACGTTATAGTTAGTATACATTTCTGAAATGTTAACAGGTCTTTGTATGATCTTCTACGGGTAAACTAACATAAATAAACAGGGGGGGGTTCCCTCAAGGCCATAGACACATTATATATAATATACAGGCAGTGTATTTATCAGCACTCATGTTACACGTAACACACTGGAACCAGCCAGTCAAGTCTCTTTCTTAAATGTTCTTTGTATTCTAGACAAAGCATTAAGGTCCAATGTGTTTGTAATTGTTATGTTTGTTTTTTCAACCTATCCTTGGTTAATATAAATTTCTGTAACTTTTGGTGCCATTTCAATAGTTTGAGACAAATCCTGTCCCCTATTCCGTAGTTGTGGATTTAAAGCTGTACAACAGACATGACCAATGAAGACACAGTTTTTTAGGGGTGCTAGATGGTCATGTATCTTAGAATACTTGTTTTCACAGCAAGGCGCACATGCCATTTGGTGGTGAGAGGTTCTATTCCCAGGACAACAACTATAGCTTTCGATTTTTATGTTGTCTAGTGTGTCATTCTATCTTTCTACTACTTTCTGTGAGTGCCGAACAATACAATGTTTGATTATTGTAAATCATAATTCAACATGTGTTTTACCCTAATTCTCCTAAATTAAAAGTTGTCACTTTTTGTAATGGGAAAATTAATGAACCATAGACTTCCCATTTATCAAGACAGGCAAAGAAGTATATGAGCTTTTACTCACCTTGTCATTTGTATCGCTGCCTGCTTGCCTGCCTGTCTGTCTGGTCTGGTCTGGTCTGTCTGTCTGTCTGTCTGTCTGTCTGTCTGTCTGTCTGTCTGTCTGTCTGTCTGTCTGTCTGTCTGTCTGTCTGTCTGTCTGTCTGTCTGTCTGTCTGTCTGTCTGTCTGTCTGTCTGTCTGTCTGTCTGTCTGTCTGTCTGTCTGTCTGTCTGTCTGTCTGTCTGTCTGTCTGTCTGTCTGTCTGTCTGTCTGTCTGTCTGTCTGTCTGTCTCTGTGTCTCTCAGTTTCTCTTACCTCTTCTCTCTTCCTGACTCCATTTCTTCTCCACCTCCCTCTTACTCCTGTAACTTTTCACACCTTTTCTTTTCCTTACTCCTCATTCCTCTTCTTCCCCACCCCTGCCTCTCTCTGTCTTTACTTCTCTATCTGTTCCTGATTTGTAAACTAATGAAGATTAATTGTGAAGATAAATATAAGAAATTGTTGCCGCATTTCAGTTGAGAATCCCTGGCAGTGATATCTGGTACTCTCCTGAACTGTACATCTCTGTCATATGTCACACACCGGTCGTCTGCTCATCTACCAATCAGGTTGGTAAATTTAAACACAGCTGACTGTTTTTTTTTTTTTTTTTTTTTTTATTTAAAAAAAAATTTATTAATATAAGTGAAAGTTCATGGGGCGGGGGGAACTGGCAAGAGACCGAGTTTCTTACAGGCAGACTGTGATGAGAGCGACGTTCTGCAAAGGACCTGCTACATGATGATGATGATGTACTGAAACAGTAGGAGGTAGTCATCAGTTTTTGGCCATGTAATGAGAAAAAGGAAAACTGGAACATGTGACCACTGAAAATATTTGTAGAAAGAGAGGAATTTTTAACAGCCCTTTGTCATGGCATTGAGAGGTGTCAGAACATGAACTAATGAATACTGTTAGAGATCGCAGGTTATAAAAAGGCTTGATCATCCACACCAGTTGGCAATGCACTTAATAATGATGATGTATTGTTTGATATTTGGGTTTATACCCAGTCAACCCAGCCTCATCAAATCAAAATCAGCATTATGTGCCCTGCCTGATGGCTTAGACCAATGGTCTCCAACCTTTTTTTCTTTTTTAAGTAGCACCCCCTTGAGTATATGGCATGACCCCCAGAGCCCTACTAACCCCAAATTTAACCAAATGTTATGAAAAAGAGGAGGAATATGTTCTTAATCTTTAATTGTATGCACAAGTTATCATGTTAATTAGATTTTGAACGGTACTTATACAGACTGCTCATAAAAACAAAAACATCATTGGCTTTTTGTTTAAATTGTTTAAAAAAAAATATATTCTATTTAAAATTAAATTGAAAAAAAAAAAACCTGTTAGTATAACGGATTTTTACAAGTACAGACGCAGTCCTTTTCAAATTGCCAAACAAGTTCCAGTAGACCAAAAGGTGAAGAGAAGTCGCTGGTGTTGGATAAGATACATGTTGAAAAAACCCTGAAAACAATATGACTAGAATGTCTCTGCACTGCAACCTACAGGTGCATACAAATAAAGGAAGACCAAAAAAATAATAGAGAAAGGAGCTAGAAATGGGGTGAGCTGCATTCAGTAGCGAAAGATAGAACAACTTTGCGTGAATGGGTTGAGGGCCTATGCTCCATTGAAGGATAGAAGGCAGAAAACGAAGAAGACCACCCCTGTCCTGATCTCTAAGGCAATCACGATGTTTTCTGTTGATGTTTTTCTCATCACATGACTAAAGAACAGTATATCTCTTTCTTATCGGGCCGCGTTAGCACAGTTAATAGGAGAATGGCTTTCAAATTCAGCTGCGACTCACTGCTGCCCACGGCCAGTGTTTGAAACCAGGGGGTTCCCGCGGTTCACCCAGCCTCTAGGTAATGGGTACCAGAGTTAACACTCTGGGGTAAATGGAGGAACGTCACTATAGCTACGGAGTTGTGTGCGGACAGTGACACAGGCGCACAGTTTCTTTAGTCATTTCTTTTCAAGTGTCATTGAAATATCTTTTTCTGCTTCATCATAAAGAAATATGAAGGAGCATACAGAATTTCAGATGAGGAGAAAGCATACATCTTGTCTGTCATATAGAGTTCTTTTTCAGTGTCTTAAGTGTTGTTATAAATACATTGTGTGACTTGTGTGAGTTTGATTTTTTCTCAGGTTTTAGTACAAGGTGTCAAATTAAGCCAGGCAAATATCGACTATTATCTGAGGCATATAGAATGTGAACTAATCCAGTATGAGGCTGCCCTTGCACATAGTTTTGCCTCATTGCTCAGGCTCTGCAAGCGAAAGGTAAGCACCCGATTCTGATCTTCTTCTTCGCTCTCACCAGCTGTATAATCCAGAAGAAAGTTCTGGTTGTTCGTCCACCTCCGGACTTAAGCCTTGTTCCTGAACCTGAGTGTTGCATACACATCTGTTTCATAGATCTGACTTATTTGTAAGCAGATCTGACTTATTTGTAAGCAGACTGTTGGTTCCTTGCCTCTCAGGCAGATGTACTGTGACTTCAAAGAGTACCCCTATTTAGTCGACTTCTACGACATGCTTAGTGGGTCACTGGGTGTAGGGGTTAGAAGCTCGCCTGGTTTAGGCCCTGACAGAATAAGGTTTTCTTCAGAAATGACAGTGGGCCAACGGGCGAAAGCTCATGCCCCCGCTGGATCAATAACAACAACAGCAGGAGCAAAGTTACACCTGTTGGGTAGGAAAAGAGAAAAGTATATTAACCCTTTTCTCGTAGCAACTCTTAAAAAGATAGGTCATTACCCTTGTTAAGATTCCTGATACAAATTTGTAAAAGCAAAAAAAATGTGTACAGAGGTCACTAATAACCTTGTTAAAATGTTGTTGTCGACATTTAACATTATTTTTCAAAAAATAAAAAGGTATATGAAAGAAATAATCAATGAACGGGGTATGTATTAAACTGAATACATCCCCTGTAGCATGTATCTGTGAGTCGTGCATCAATTGGGTGAGTCATGCCGTCACCCTGTGACCTTTACCACTGAGGCTTTTGAGAAAATCTGATGTCATCTTCCTTTTTAAAATACCATTTAGCCCAAAGAAAAACCCCTCTAAATGCTATTATTTGTTAATATATTCATATCTTGACCTCAGGAGCAAACTCAACCAGTTGCATTAACTATACATCTTATAAACAGGTCACTAAAGGCAAGTTGGAAAGTAACATTTACAGGGAAATGACCGAACTGAAAGTGTCAGACTTTTCAATTTCTCAGAGCGAAAGGTTAAACACCACATGATGGCTTGTTGTTGCAGTTTTTGTCAATAAAAGTTGCCGCTGAAATGTCCAGTGGTTCCTGTGTGTGTTTGTTAAATTGTGCAGTTAGAAATGAATCTAGGACAGGCACAGCAAGAGGTTAGATGATTTAATTGTTGAAAAGAATAGGCTCAAGATAAGAAGAGAAATTAACATTAACACAAGCTACACAACTAGCAAAAGGCAAGAAACCACTCCGAAATTCTCTCTGTGACACTGTATGGCATAAGCAATAGGGAAAAAAATAGAAGCGTATGTATTTCCCTTCTCCTCCCCCCTCCTCACCCCCCCTTTCACCTTATGCTTCTTAGTCGCAGTTCAATAGATTAATTTCTTGATACTAGCTTGACTGCATCACTATTTTTTAAAATTTTATCCTATAGTAAACACCTGCTATATAAAAGGTAACTATATTACATATTATGAAACCACGTGGTGTTCTATATTTGTCAGAGATGATTATATGTTTTTGTTTTAGTTTTAATCAAGGACTGGCTGGCTGAATGGTTAAGAACGCCAGGCTCTCGTGCAGGAAACCCAGCTTGGAATCCAAGATAAGATTGTGGATTTGTTCTGTCAGGATCAAAAATAACATTCTAACCTACACAGTCAATGGTGACAGCAGTAACTATGCTGCCAAACACCTCAGCCTCAGTGATTCTCCCCTGACCCCCTTTCCCGCCAACACTGCAGAAGTGTTAAATACAGGCAGTAATGGCCGTTGATGGCAGTAGTTAATTAAAATGTAACAGGAGCGGCCAGATTTTCAGATGTGCTCTATCAAACATTGTAGGAGAACTTCTTCTTGGATGATGGTGAGGAAGAGAATGCCACTGCTGAGTTTAGCCTGCAGGACCACATGGGCAACCCAGAGGCAGGTTTTACCAATATGCTCAGATATGGGATACTGGCATTGCAGCTTCTGCCTGAGAATTCCAGCTCTGGTAATTAATCTGTTTATATTTTTCTAGTTTCTTTATGGTTTTTTTTTTTTTTTTTTTGCTTCTGCTTTTTCGTCTCCTGCTTTTTCAACATCATCTTCATCTTCTGCTGCTTCTCCTCCCCCTCCTCCCTCCTTGGAATGATAAAAAAATGTATAGTGAGTTGTTTGGTACTAAAAGAGTTAAATTTACCTGGCTGTGATTATGGGAAGAACTACTCATCCCTAAGGCAGGATCTGTTAGAAAAATCTCTCCTTTAGTATTAACTCTTTGATGCCTAGAAGATTATTAAGATACACCACCAATAGAGCTTGCCAGCTGCCAGCTCAGGCTTTTCAGTTCTTGGAAAAACACTTTTATGCAGTGTTTCCTAACCTGCAGCCCATGTCCCATGGGGAAAAAGAAAAGGAGGGGGGAATGGTCATTAGAATTTTAGAGTCTTAAGTGGGGCATGGCACAACAAAGTTTGGGAAACATTGCTGTAATGAGACTCAAGTAAACACTGGCAAGAAAAAGTATTGAATCTTTAGCATTTTGACCAAAAAATATATCAGGCATAATCACATAAAAATGCGCTAGAAAGACATTGAATGATAAGTGATGAATGTAATAGTGGTTTGAAATAACACCAGAATTACAATACTAATTAGAACTGTTTCGCTTTCGGAAAAAAAAATAATAAATCTAGAACATAAAATATAAGAAAGATCTTTTAGATGTTTTAAAGTTTAGGCTCAACCCTGCTATCATTTATATATTTGTAACCCTCACAATTGTCATTACAATCTTTTTTTTCCCCTCTCTCATCACTTTCATGTAGGCATTGTGGTCATCACAGATGGCATTGTTGGGCTGCCAAGTTCTTCTATGATAGAGCTGTTGCTCAACAGGATGCGAAACAACACCATCATGTGCAGCTTTATCAAAGTTGGCAGCCCATCTGGCCTCTATCGCAAGCTGGCCCATGTGCCGCACATTGAGCTGATGCAGGCAATCTCAACGGCAACATTTGGGGCTTACCTAAGCTCGGCTCCTCCTGTGGTATGTCTGAAATATTGACTGTCGTTTAGATGTGTTTAGAATTAACTCTTTAATTATGTCTTGCCTCCTAGAGTTTAGATGTGTTTAGAATTAACTCTTTAATTATGTCTTGCCACCTAGAGTCTTGAAGGTTTTCAGTGTATTATTTACAAAGAAGCAAAATATGATAAAATTAGTTGCATAACTTCGCATGAAATAGCAGAAACAAGGCAAGAATTTCCTGACGATTTTATAATTTAAAACTTTGAGTTTATTATTAGTGTTTATTTTATTTCTTTGCTTGTGCCTATCTGCTTTTTAGAATTTTATAAATGCTAATGTTGTTATTATACAAGCATTAGAAATGCGATGTTTCAGAAAAATTCTTGGCATATCATACAGAGACCACATTACAAACAAAGAAGTTCGCCATAAAATTATACAGCACATTGGCAACTATGAACCTCTTTCAACTACAGTGAAAAGTCAAAAAAAAAGCAATGGTATGGACATGTAATAAGATCTAATGGCCTCTCAAAAACAATACTGCAGGGCTCAGTGGAGGGAAAGAGGAGAAGAGGCAGACCAAGAAAGACCTGGTTACAGAACCTGACTGACTGACTGGACAGGCTTCAGGCATGCAACCATGAAGTCCATCGCAACTGACCGCCAAAGGTGGAGAGAGCTGATCAGACAGTCAACAGAAACTTGTAACTCAACATCATGTAGTGTTATGGGATGATAATGAATGTTATTAGTTTGTTCCCTGAATGAGAACTCAGATTTATTAGTTTTACCCTTTCCATTCCTCAGAAAAAAAAAAAAAAAACCCAGAAATTCTGACAAGTTGTTTTTATGGAAAAGTTACTTTTTAACCTAAAATGTGTCCACAGACTGAGGAGGAGAATGAGACCAACTTGTACCACCGGGCCATGCTGTTCTGGTCATTTCAGCGGGGTCTAGAGGGCTTTAAGTATGACCTGACACACTACAGTGATGAGGACATGCCTGGTTCTATCTCATGGATCAAAAGGTAAAACAGCTTTTACATGTGAAGCACTCTAATTTGTTATTTTGTATGATCAGAAGTCTTTGTGTTGAAGACACCATTGCACAGTGAGTGTTCCCATCTTTGCTCAGTCCTCTGATGCAGCAGCCACTCTAGTATTATAACAAGACTGACATCTAGAATTGGATAAACAGCCAGAAATTTCCACCAGGGTTTACAGTTGGTAAACACAAAGAGGAAGATTTCCATGAGGCAGCCATGGAGCTCCAGCGACAACGCCCAGGGATATCTGAAACATCTTAACCAGCATACAAAAGGACAATGTCTAATACCAAACTACAGACTGTAAGGCAAACAACTAAACCACTTTACCACAGATGAAGACCCAGTTAAATCTCCCTCACTTGGATCTACACAACTGAGCATGCAGGAGTAACAGATAATGAACAAGCAGACAAATTGGCAAGTATTCCACCACTGCATTTGAGAAGATGAATGGACAGAGCAGATATCATCATTGCTAGAGGGCTAGACTGATGGGAAAAAAAGACAAATCTCTAACACTTATGTGATGGCATGACTTTAGAGTGAAACTTGGTGAAGCACGTCAGTGTCATTTCATGGTCAAGATGAGACCTTGTAACTTACTTCTCAAGGGAACAATCAATAGAGGTTTGGCTGACAACTCAAGAAGTAAAGGCAGCCTATAAAATTAAATAGTACAGTAAAGATCCCTTTTTATGCATTAGGCACATCAGGCATATTGGAAGAGCACCCATATTTTAACAGACCAATTGACACTACGTATTTAATATGGTCAGCATTACGCCGGCCGTCTTTACTTTCCCAGGACATACATCCCGGAACCCATTTAAGGCTGGGTAGACTTGCGACACCCTGTACCATGATAAAAATCTACACAGTTAGCAGTAGGTTTCAATCGTGGTATGTTGGATTACAAGTTGACTCACAACACCTAAGCTACGGACGCCACAGCTTATAGAATTGATGCTATTTAAAATATAAATTTTCTGTCGTCAGCCACTACATAATCAGAAAAAATAAAAAATATTTATTGATGACAAACCTAATAGTTCTGTCTGTCGTTTTTTGCAGAATGCTGCACCGACATCCAATAACAGGGGAAAGTTTTGGCCTGGAGACCTTGGGAAAGGAACGAGACAAGCGTGTGGTGATGGCAGGCATCCACAGTGTGTTATCCATGAGACTGAGAGAAGGCTACACCATCAAAAGTGTCTCTTTTAAGAATGGTAATCTTTGATAGTGCCCTTGTCACCTGCCTAGTTAAGGATTTCTCCTAATTAACCAACAGCACTCTGAAATAGTATTAATGTTGGAATGTCGGCTCGTAATCGTCTAGACGGAATCCCGTGGCCACTATACACATCCAACCTATTTCAGGGGTGGGGCAACACAAGCTATGGCACTACAGAATATATACTATTAGGCGCAACTTGGCCAGACATCCCCACTACTACAAGAAAATAGCCCCCAGAGTATGATAGTTCACTATCATAGTCATGTTAACACAGAATAAGATTTAATATAATAATACATACACTCCAGACAGCTAAGAACAATGAAGATGGACACTAACTTCAATATTGAACAATTCCAAAGACATGTAATAAGCTCAACACATGCATCCTGAATCAGGAAAAAGGAATTCAATGATTTTAAGAATCTTCCTGACACTCTATTTTTCAGGAGAGCCGCCATTATTATCATGGCACATGTGAGAATAGTGAATCCAGGAACCAGGCACTGAGTAATGATGAACTTATCTTTCCCTGGGTCTGGTTTACAGCAACACTTGCATCACACCAACTGGGAGGTCTGGAACAAAGTCACTAGACTGGTTGGCTCCACAGCATTTCAAGAACTGTATGTGTAATAACATGTCATATTGAAAGTTATGGGACAAGAATGGTTCACAACCATTGATAGACAGTGTCCACCTTCTCCAGGTGGCTCCCTGGATATGGAATTCTCCCACTGATACAATGGCTGCTACCGGGCTGTCTGAACAGAGTTGTCAACAGGCCCCCATGGTGCAGTCTTCTGGCTGCCAGTGGCACATAAGAGTTTGTGGCAATCAAGCTGGTGGCTTTCAAGCTGGTGGCTTTCAAGCTGGTGACTTTATGGACTGTTGATTAACTGCCTCGCTTCCAAGGAGATATCATCCTGTGAGGAAGTGGAACACCAGAATTGCAGTAGTCATCTCAACTCATATGCCTAGTACCTGCTAAACTCCCTCCACACATATATATAGCTCAGAGGACAGCTCTCAGGATAAGAAGACTGTCTCTATGCAACAGTGTCAGTCAGTCAGTATAAGAGACATGAGACAAGTTCCACAGTGGAGACAGACAGAAGTTTCTCAGATAAAGAACACCCTCTCTCTCCATCCATATCTGTACTTGTAGTTGCAAACACTACCACTCACACAAATATGTATACCACATTCTCCACAGGTTGACTCTAGCCCTCCAGATTCCCCCAGTGTGTGTACCTGAGTTAACTATAAATATCCCTTGACATCACTTTGCTTGTCCCCCGCTTGTCCCCCGCCGCCAGTGAAACTGTGTACTGACCCAAATAATCTGCTGGTTACTAGATCGGCAACCATTTTCACAACTAGTTAGTTTGGAACGAATGGACTTCTAGATTAAATCATTGATACTAGTGTTGGGTTTGGTAGTGCACATACTCTCAGCTTGAAAAGGGGAAGGTATGATTTAGGTGGTCATGACATTTCGACACCAAGAACAGTCTCGCTCTGTAATGTCTCACAGCCAAGTCATCCCTTTCCTCAGCAGCGGGGCAAATATATAAACATGGTACTCATAAACTCTAATAGACTTGCCCAAGCAATAGGAAATGTCCTGGACGCAAAAGCTGTCCTCTCAGAGTACAAATTTGCGAGACAAAGTTTTGAACGTCAGTTCTACTTGGCTGTCGGGCAGAGAATGAGAGGGAAAATGTTGGCGTCACTTTTACAGAAGAAGTGCGCCGATTACTACGCCAAGGTCATGAATCGTCCCATCGGATTAAGAGTAAAAACACAAATCTCTAACTTTTAACGGTAAGTTTGAAAATGTAGACATTTTATGAGATTCAGAATATATAGAAATGTGTATTCCGTCCTATGAAGGTGTAAATAGACACCAAGGACTATATACCCACCGGACGGGTCGATATTTGAATGAGACATCGACACTAGGGGCGCCAAAGTCACGAATAGTTCACAGTGTAGGGGTGATTACGGCCATTTCATGACACATGTAGATGTGACTTTCCTAAGTTTACACTGATCTTATGAAGATGTGACTTTCATATGAAGATGCAACAATGTTACAGAATAATAGACAGATGAATGGGCCTTAAATATGAAAACATCAGGTCCAGCTCATGTGATTGCTAGGAAAAGAAAGATATGATCAGACAGTTAACAGTAAAACTGTAACCCAGTGATGTACAGTGCTGCAAAATGATAGACAGATGGATGGGCAAATGAACAGACAGGCGGGTAGGTGGGTTGGTGGGTGGGTAAGCATTTAGGTAAGGTAGGTAGATTGCTTGCTTGGTAAGTAGATTGATTGAGGGTTTGATTGATTCATAGATTGATTCTGGAATCAAATATGTTTTTTCCTGTTATACCCTGTTTGTCACAAGATATATACATAAATATATATAAAAAAACATTACCCATACTTTTGTAAATACCATAATTAATTATGTATTTGACAAGAAATTGAATAAATCAACAATCTAACATGCACCATAAAGATGGTGACATTTATATAACAACTAGTAAGCTAGAAATGTATAGCATCCTTCTTGTTCTCACCTTGCATTTATTATTTACCAGAATGTTAACCCTGTTACCCTGAGAATACTAAATCTAGTGACTTCCGCTTGTGATACAGTCCAGCAAATGCAGATACATCACCATATCTGCAGTGACATGTTCTCGAAAAGCACAGTTAAATTCTATTTGTTCTGTGTGCACCTGCACAGTGTAAATAAATATAGTAACTAAAAATAGCATTTTTGGGAGTTTCCTCATGACCCCAATGGCTTTTTATGGATGTCAGATTTTTCCATAGACCTCATTGGTAGAGTTCACCGCATGAGTCACCTAGATTTGAAGACCTGGGTGAATGTATTCCATTTGATGCTTCACTCAGTTAATGTTTACTGATTAGCCCATTTATATACCTTTTTATATTTTGAAAAAATATAGTTGAAAAAAATTGTTTAAAAATATATTATTGACCTTTGTAAATGTTTGTTTTTATAGAATTTTTTCCTGGGAGTTCCAAGAGTTTATAACCCATTTTTGTTAGCATTCGCAGGCAAATTAATTTAAGTTTAATTATACTTTGCTTTACAAGTAAACCAAAGAAATTTCTATTGCATTTCATGGATTTAATTTTCAGATTATACAGAAATCCTAGTGAAGCTACATTTTCCTTGGAGAGACTATGGCAAAATAGAGTATGCAGCATCTGCTGCCTGGCCTTTGGAATCTGCCAAGTGAGATTTGGGAATAGAATGATAATTTGTGTAGTAATTAGTTACAGATGAACAAGAATGATGTTGGAATAAAATTGTATTTTTAATATTTGTAGTAACAAATTAATAAGAGTGTTTCCAGAATAGATAATTTGTATTTCAAATACTAATAACAGAATAATAGGAGTAATTTCAGAATCATCACCATCATCATGTAGCAGGTTCTTTGCAGAACGTCGCTCTCATCACAGTCTGCCTGAAAGAAACTCGGTCTCTCGCTAGTTCTCCTGCCTCATATACTTTCATACTCAAGGAGTCACCTATATCCTGTGCCCATCTTCGTGTTGGTTGGCCCCTGCCCCTCCTTCCTGGTACCATGCTTTCTGCTATTTTTTTTCCCAATCCGTCGAGGCGCTTGATATGACCAAAATATTTCAGCTTCCGAGAAATTCTTTTCTTCTTTCGTTCGCATGAAATAAATTGTCTATATCTGCAAAGCTGTCTCTAGTATGAATTTCACTGTCTTTTGTAATTCACTAAGCGGCCCGTAAAGTTTGACTTCCACAAGTGTCTCTTTTGGCCAAAGGTTTTGCCTGAAAGCGTTGAATCTGGGACAGTCTTGAAGGATGTGATCTGTTGTTTCAGGTGCCAGTCCACAAGTACACATGGCTGATTGGCCAATCTTAAATTTGTTGTACATGTGGGAGCGAAGTCGATTGTGCCCTGTTCTAAGGCGAAGGATAATGACTTGCTCTGGTCTGTCCATAATATGGTAATCATCTTGTGCCAGTTTCGGTGGCATTCTGATTGATTTGATCATTCTCTTCTTCTGTTGATAAGAGACTGGTATGTTAGGTTGTTCTTCAGTTGCACCTTCCTTAGCTAGTTTATCAGCTTTTTCGTTTCCGGGAACTCCACAGTGGGAAGGTATCCACTGCATTACTAATTTACAGCGGTTGCCTAGTTCGGATAATAGTGTCCGTATGCTTGGTAATTTTCCAGACTGGAGTGACTGAAGTACTGCTTTTGCATCTGTCAGGAATACCACTGGTTGTGAAAAATACCCTATATTTAGTAGTTTCTCTGCCGCTATCTTGATGGCTTGAACTTCTGCATCATAGTTGTGACAGTGCTTTCCCGTTGGTAATTTGGCTGTATCCCTGATATTATTAGGATACTCAATGTACACTCCCGCACCTCCGTTTCTGACTGCGCTTTCTGCTGACCCGTCTGTGTAAACACGGACCCAAAGGTTCTGCGGGTATTCATCATCAAGTAGACTGAGGGTGGCTGTTTTGCGCTGCACACTGTTTTGTTCTTCCTTGTCAAATACCCCTTTCACTTCAGTCTTGATGTGTATTGGAAACTTATACTCCTCTCTCCAGGGGGTCCGTTCTGGGACAGCATTTAAGGATCTATCAGTTGCAGGTAAATCAGTGGTTTGTCTGCCGAGGCGTTTGGCCTGGTGGATAAAACTACTTCTCTTTAGTCGTCCCAAAGCTAAATTTTGGAATCTTTCATTCATAGGGTGACTGGGCATACTAAGAAACTTTTCTGCTTGTAAAAGCATCTTGGTGTCTCTGCGTTCACTCAGTGCTTGGGTCATTCCCATTTTCTCCATCACAGCTATAGGTGTTGATTTCATACTGCCTGTGGTAACTCTGAGTGCTTGATTTTGCACTTTGTCTAATTCTTGCAATGTGGTTTTTGATGCCGAACTCCATGCTGTTGATCCGTATTCAAGATGTGGTCGAACACTTTGTTGGTAAACTTTTCTAAGTATTTTCCGCTAGCACCCCATGTGGTTCCACTTAGTTTTCTCAGAATGGCTACCCTCCTTCTGGCTTTGGTTGCTGCCTTGTTGATGTGTTTTCTCCATGTTAATCTATCATCAAACGTTACGCCGAGGTATGTGGGCTCCTTATCCTCTCTCAGGGGTACTCCATTTATGTGCATGACACCTGATTTTTGTTTAGGAGAAAGGGTAAAGAGGGTGGTGCTGCATTTGCCTATGTTGATGCTGACACACCATTTGTTGGCCCAATCAGCCATTACATCTATGGCTCTTTGAAGCAGCCTGGTGGCCACTGTCGCATTTTCATTTGTACACCAGAGTACCAAGTCATCAGCATACATTGCAGCTTTAATTCCACGGGGTAGTTCAGAAAGCAGGTCGTTGATATAGACTAGGAAGAGTGTGGGGGACAGAACACCTCCTTGTGGGACGCCATGGCGCAGCAAAACTTTCTTACTCTTAAGTCCATCTATCTGTACTCGGGATCTTCTGTTATACAAGTATGCTTTCACCCATTTGTACATTCTCCCATTCACCCTGCAGTCTCTCAGTTTCTTCAGTAGACCTTCTTTCCAGACCTTGTCAAAGGCTTTCTTCAGATCTATCCATGCCGTTAGCACTAGCTTCTTTTCCTGGAAGGCATCCTCAATTTCTTGTGAAAGGTAAGTTGTCTGGTCTTCTGTGGAGTAGCACTGTCTAAATCCTGCCTGCTGCGGCGTGAAAATGTTTTCACTTTCCAAGTACCATTGGAGTCTAAGGTTGACAATACGTTCCATTGTTTTACAGAGGCAGCTGGTAAGACTGATCGGTCTATAGCTGGAGGCATCAGAACTGTCCTTTCCTGGTTTAAGCAGAGGTATTGTGATTGCTTCTCTCCATATTTGAGGAACTTTGCCACTGGTCCAACAATGATTAAAGATCTGTAGCAGCTTTTTTTGGCAGTTGTTCCAAGGTTCTTGATCATTTCGTTGGTGATACCATCAATTCCAGGTGATTTTCCCATTCTCAGCTTTGATATTGCTAACTCTAACTCGCTGGATGTAAGTGCTGCCACCAGTGCCTCAGGAATTATATCTTTTTGTCTTATATGTTGTTTCATTTTTCTTGAACCTCTCGCTGTTTCTCTGGGCTGACATTAATGTTGCTGTCTTCTGCAAAGGAATCTGCAAAGTGGTCAGCTGCCTGTTTTTCTTGTTAGGATGTTGGCTCCCTCAGATTGCATTAGTACGGTTTGCGGTGGTCACTGCCTCCTAGTTGCTTCCCAACAGTTCTGGTAACATTCAGTTCCATGTCTGCTGAGTGAAAGGCTAGGTCTGGTGTCGAGGTGGTATGCCATGCTCTAGAGTAGAAGGTTGGTGGGTCGGTTGGCTTATTAACGAGGATGAACCTATTCTCGTCCTGCCAGTCTCTAGTTTTTTTTCCTCTCTGGTCCATATGATCGTAGCCCCAACTTTGGGATTGGCTATTTAAATCCCCACAAATGATCATTTTTTCATTTATTAGTACTGTATCTAGTGCCTGAGGGCGGTCGCTCGGACAGTAATAGTTGGTCAGATGTAAATCTGTATTTTCTAACTTGAGCTCAAGTGTTTGATACTCAGCACCTTCCATGTATGTTTCGATCCGGCCCGCAAGGATGTTATATTTGACCAGGGTAAGATTCCACCTTTCTCCTGTCTTTGCGGTCAGATCGGAAACACTGGTAGCCTCTGATCTTAAAGGCCATATCTTGTTTGAGATACGTCTCTTGTAGGCAGCATACATGTACATTCTCTTCGTTCAAGACGTTTCTAATTCTAATTTCTTAGTATTTACTCCTCCGCGTTCCAGTGCATTATTTTAAGGCTAGCTGTATTTTCTGCTTTTCTGGTTTCTACGGGGCATTAGGGGGAGGCTTCGAGTATTTGAAGCTGGACTCTTTCTTCTTGTCTTAGGCCGGTAATCGAACCACGTGTACGTGAGTGGGTCGCATGGTGGAAATCAAACTTATTTGCAGATATAGAAATATTCCCTGTTGCGTTTGTGCGTGGCATCCTGATTGCTGTGGTGCGCCTCCTGGCTGGTTGCCTCCGACTTCAGCACCTTGTTTTGCTAGAGTAGACTGGGGTCTTACCCGTGGACTCCCATGTTTATAATGGGAGCGTGGCTCCTACGCGGTTACATTATCGGAATTAGGACACGGCCGCCGCCGTGGCTATTTTGTGGAAATAATTCCGTTATAACATCCCTGAACCACATAATACTTGTATCCACGAACAAGAGAATATCCATCGTCAATGAATTTGTAATAATCGCACTTTGTTATAAAGAGAAAAACACCGATTAAGTGAAAATTTTAGAATAAAATCGAGTGTCGCCGCAAACACGTCTTTACGCTGCCATTTCTAAACCGGAAATGATTTTGTTTTTTAGCCAATCTTCCTTGATGTTCAGATCTTTTAGGATGTCAATATTTCTCCTCTTCTTTGTCCAAAATATTCTGAGAATCTTTCTAAGCATTTTATCTCAAAAGTCCCTATTCTCTTTCTTAAGGACTGAGAGACAGTCCACGACTCACATACGTATGTAGCCACAGGGAAGATGCATGCTCTCAGAATTCTAATTTTTATCTCATTGCTGGTGCTTAACCATAGACTTTTAAGGCTGTTCAATCTTTGCATTGCTATGGCCATCCTCCTTTTAATTTCTGTCGAACAGTCTCCATTGCTGTTTATTATAGAGTCTAGATATTCAAATTTTGTGACATTTTCAATTTCTTCATCATTTTTTGTTATTTTGGGTGACAGCCAGTTTTATCTGTGGACATTATTTTCGTTTTCTTTAAATTCAAGAACAGATTTTGATCTTCACTGTACTTTTGGACAGACAATATTAAATTGTCTATTCCCTTTACGCTGTTTGAAAGGAGGACTGTGTCATCTGCATAGTGGAGTTCTGGAATAGGGTTGCCACCCATTTTGAGCGGATCATAACTGTCACAAAATTTCAGAAAAGAAATTCATATTTATGGCTGTAATAAGGGAGGGAGGGAGGGGGAGAGAGAGAGAGAGGGAGGGAGGGAGGGAGGGAGAGAGAGAGAGAGAGAGAGAGAGAGAGAGAGAGAGAGAGAGAGAGAGAGAGAGAGAGAGAGAGATCCTGACGATAGATTGATAGATAGATAGCCAACAACTTAGAAATTGAATTAGGTTTTTTCCATAGTAAATTCTTCCACTTGATGCTTGTGTGATGACTTGGATGCTTGGCATTGTCATATTATTCGGAAAAACATTTTCCCATTTCACTTTGAATACTGATGATGCAAACAATATATTATTGTCAGTTGGTGAGATGTACAATACAAAATAGGGCTATTGAATTGAGTAGCTTTTGCTCCACTGACAATTCCCAAGGGTCTCCTTGATAATGCCATTTATGAACTTTATGATACTGTGGCATATTGAACCCTGACCTTTGATGTGCAAGTCAAACAGCTTGGCCATGCATTTGGAGATCATAACATTTATACTCCAATGCCTAAACAGATCAGACCAAGTTACAATTTTTCGCTTATGCACTGGAAGCTGCAGACTCAACAAACACTCATATAAATTAGGTATGACAAAGATCATGAGGTGGTAACATTGACAGGGAATTGAGTGGCTTTCTGGCATTCCAAGGTGACAGTCATGTTCTGCAAAAGACCTGCTACATGAAGATGAATGCTACGTCTATGGCAGGAAAATAACATTTAAAAACTACCCACAACAAAACATGTATATTGTATGGATTCTGATGTCCTGGAGAAAACTTGGCACAGCCAGGTTTTGTAATTGCCAGCAACACATAACAAATTTGGGAGTTGTGAATACCTAATAGATTTATAGTTACAATAAAGTGGACATAATCATTGCACAGTTTATTGTCAGGTGGGTTTCACTGCATCTCATCAGATGCATTACTAGAGAATTATATGAACACGCTGAGTTAAGAACTAAAATCACAGCACTCTGGACATTCTCATAAGCACTCCATCCTTATCTTCAGCAGCCAGCGAAGTTACATCAACTTCATCATCATCATCATCAGGTGCCTTGCCAACTGGCGTGGGCGATCATGCCTCTCCATAATCTGCGATCTCCTGCAGCATGTATCAGTTCGTGTGCCAACACACCTCCATGCCATGCGACAAGACTGTCAAGCATCTTCTCTCGCTGTCTTCCTCTTTCTCTCCTTTCACATATCTTTCCAGTGGTCACAACATGGTCTATTTTCCCTCTTCTCATAACATGGCCGAAAAATGATGACTGTCTCCTTCTGATGTCTGTGATAAGTTGTCTTCGGGCTCCCGCCTCTTTCAAAACCTCTCGGTTGCTCTTTTTGGCTGTCCAAGGTATTCTAAGCATTCTTCTGTAAAACCACATCTCAAAGGCCTCAAGAAATTGTTTGGCCTGCCTACCGATTGTCCAGGATTCACAGCCATATGTTAAAACTGGATGTATGTAGCAAGCAAAAATTCTTTTTCTAACTCTCAATGACAAGGATATATTGCACAAGATGTTTTTCATTTTATAAAATGCAGTTTTGGCCTGTCCTATTCTATTTCTTATCTCAGTTATGCATCTTCCATCTGATGTTATCCATGTTCCCAGATACTTAAATTTCTGTACTTGTCCTAAAATAACACCATCAACTTTTATTACACATTTAGGAATAATTCGTTTCTTTGATACCCCCAATACTTCTGTCTTCCCATTATTCAAACTGAGGCCCATTCTTTCACTTTCTAACACCACAATGTCTATCATTTCCTGTAGTTCTTTCTGACTCGTTGCTATCAAGACTGTGTCATCAGCATAGCGTAAATTGTTTATATTGTGCCCACCAACCACACTTCCGGGCATGCCAATTAAAGCTTTCATTATATATTCACTGTATATTGAAAACAAATCAGGTGACAGTACACATCCTTGTCGTACGCCCCTCTTTATGCTTTGAAATGTACCTAAACAGTTGTTAATTCTTATAGCTGCTGTTTGCTGCCAATACATTTTCTTTATTATTCGTAGATCTTTCCCATCAATGTTTAATTTTTCTAACACTTTGATTACTTCTTCATGCTTCACACAGTCAAATACTTTTGTATAGTCTATGAAGCATATGTACAAATCAGTCTTTACTTCTATAGCTCTTACAACTTGCACATCAACTTACATCAACTTGCACACACACAAAAAAAAGCCCAAGCAAGTAATATTTTTTTTACTGAACATACAAATCACGTTGTATTCTTTAGCTACCCTGAACATCTCATAATTGGACGTTCAAGATTTTGAATTTGTGCGAACATTTATACCTTTAGTAAATGTGATAAGAACAATATATGACAGTATATACTTTTTTAATACAAATGGAAGGTCATTGTTGCCATTGATATTTTCAGACCTGTAACAAATGTGGAAGTTACTGTTGAGGGGAGCTATGATTTGCTGCATGAAATGTTGTGCAAGCCAAGTAAGGAGCAGAAGAGTCTACTACGAGTCAACAATATCAAAACACTGTGGGCTATAATTGAGAGGTCAGTAATTTTTGAGTTTCCGTGTTCCCAGATTATATCTTCTTTCTTTTGTCAATAGCTGCTTATGTCTGCATTTCTGGTGTGGAACTTCTAGTGTTGCACATCTAATTGCTTCCTTATGCATTCACTTTGCGCTGTGGGCTTCAGGATTTTGCTGGGGCTGACGTGTTTTTTTAAAAACTAGTTTTTAATACCTTTTGGCTAATTTCCCCCAGGATGGAAATGCAGCAGTTATGGGACAACCTGTCAGCAGTGAAGTTGGCACCTCGACTAGTGACCTGTCCATTGGTCTATATATGTAGCATCATATACTTTATATTTTTTTTTCACTTCTCATTTGTTTATTTTTTTCATTTGTCCAGGATTGCCTCCAGTGACCAGATATTGGAGCACCTGCAGTCATTTTCTTCTCAACCCATTTTCTACCAGACTCCCGAATGCATACGCAGTGGGGTTCCTTTGTTTTACATGCAGCAGGAAGGTCCCTCCATCAATATGCAGCTGAACTCCAGGTATTTGATTAAAGATCTGATCTGCAGCAGGCTGGTTTTATGTTGGTGAATGCGTTAACATTCTGCAGAAATGTAAACAAAAATGTCTTTTCCGCCTGTAGTTATCCCTTTTAGCGCTGTAGGACAATAGGGGTTGTGTGTAAAGTAAAGGTCCTTTTTCCACGTCTTAAGGCATAAAGGGTTAGACCTATATTTTTAAAGACAAATCGGCACAAGATGGGTGATGTGGTCAGCATTACACCCGCCGCTTTTACCTCCTGGGGCTGCACCCAGTACCCACTCAAGGCTGGGTCGACCTAGGAGCCAAGGTCATTTTTGCTTTAAGCACTTGGGCAGCTGCTCTTCCACTGTAGGAATATAATTTTCCTGTATGAAAATGTTGAAAATTATTTTGAACATTAATTATATATTAGCTTTGCTTTTGATAAAATATGATTGCAGTGGAAATATGAAAAACTCAGAACTGGTAAAATATAAGTAAATAGCTGGCAAAGTTTATCCAAATGAATAAATGGAACATGTAACAAACTCAGGCCCAGCTCTGCCCAGCTACACACTTATGAGTGACAAAAAATGGATTGGATGATTCATTCATGCATGTTAACCTTTGAGTTTAAGTTTCAGGGATGTCATTTTGGTGCAACGTTTTATTGTATTGAGGGTCTTAGGTAACCATGCTTGCTCTATATTACGGGATGTGAGCGGTTTTAACAACTCCATAACATGGACAACTGGCCCTAACCCCAACCTCCCCTACCCCACACACTGAGCCTAGGTCATATGAGAGAGTGCATTCTACACCCCTCTAATGTAGACCAGCCTGACTGATCATCAATGACAGGTCAGCTAGTGTGTAGCTGGGCGGAGCTGGACCTAAGTTCGTTACTAGTTCTGAAAAAGATAAATAATTTTTTGAATAAGAAAATGTTTGTAATATTCTTGTGCACAGTGTATAATATGTTCTTATATCTTCTTGTTTTAAAATTTCAAGAGCATATAATCATTTCTGCAAGCAAATGCTTGTATGTTTTTTGTGTGGTCTCCATTAATTACTTTTATCTTGCTGTGTTCTTATTTAAAACTTTGTTTTCATGTAATGATTTAAATAATGCGGACACAAACCATACATTGCACAATTTATTGCCAGGCATATTTCGCTGTATATCGTCACGTTTTGTGTAATGCATTTGATGAGATATAGGGAAATATGCACGGCAATAAATTATTCAATATAATGTTTGTGTCCGCATTATTTAAATATTTTTATTTCTTTGTCTTTGGCCATGAAGACCTTCCTCTAATCTTCTATAAACACATATTTTAACATTTTGTTCCCCACCTTTCCAAAGATGAAAATGTTAGTTTTAACTTGTATATTCAGGGTGAGTCAGAAATATGGCTACATGTTTGATTGCTCATCTTTAGCGACATGACAGTATTATAGTTACGAAAATGAGACCATTGGAAAGGCATTCCTTCAGACTAGCTATACACAGCAATACAGAAATATGGAGTTACTTTTCTTAATTGCCTCAGACTTCTCGATGTTCACAGCACAGCATAATTGGCAGTGCTTTGGAAAGTTGCTCAATGCTCTCTGGTAGACCCACACAGGAATGTGTGGCAGTGTTTCTGACTCACCCTGCACATATAGATCCTAAATAAACACCATCTATATTTCTACTTGTCTCCTAGCTCCATGGAAGAGTTTGCAGCATTCTGGAAAACTGTGATACAGCTAGACACCAGCAATTGGTAGGTCTGGTCATAATTTTACTGCTGGTGTATGGAAGCTCTGATAATGTTCCATTTTGTGTGTTTGTGTGCGTGTATGTTGTTTGTGTGTATATGTGTGTGCATGTGCCCGTGTGTACCTGCATAGGCATTAGTGCAAATAAGAGAGAGGGAGTAAGTTAACCCAGGCTAAAATGGATACAAGGAAATGGTCTGGGAGTAAAGGTGGCTGGATTGATGTTGAAATCACTTATTTTATTGTCTATTGAAAAGTAGTATGAAACTAGCATCATTTTCCCTATATGCCACTTGCATGAAAAGGGTCTTCTCCCTCTTAAAAAAATGTACTTTATTTATTAATTGTGTGTGTGTATGTGTGTGCGCGTGCGTGCGTACGTACGAGTAGGATACCTAGTGGTAGTACACTGTAAATATGAACTGACCGTATTGTATCATAATAGTCTGTGAAAATCGAATGTAGCAGCTCTGTATAAGGATAGAGATTATGTGTTTTAGTAACTATAATGACAGTTATTATAATGACTGTATATCTTTATCTGATTGAAAAAATTTCTTGTTATTTTTAGGCAGAAGTGGCTGCACTCCCATCGCATTGGGCTTGTTTTAGAGCATGATAGACAGTTCCCCAAATACTTTCAAGTTCCCAACGCCAGCTCCAGATTTACATCCATACAGTGCAGGCAGGCATTGGCATCCCTCAGTGTGCTGCTCAGAGAGTGGAGCACATTTGTCTTGGCTGAGAACCACTCCTACATCAAGTTTTTACATCAGTAAGTGTTGACGCCATAATGTTTGGTTGTATTTTATACATCAATATGTTCATATATCAACATTCATAGTAAGAATGTAAAGTAAAAATACAAAAGCATGCATGATAAATGCACAGCTTTAAACGTGCATGGGAAAAAAATACTCTGCAAAAAAAAGTACATGCACATCACAGACACACATAAGCATGCACACACACTCTCTCTCTCACACACACACGCAAGCACGCACTCACACATGCATGCACACACACACACAGTTAGAATACAGACAATACATACTCACACACCCAACATATATACACATACAAGAACTAAAAACACAAACACAACACACAGACACAGCACTCACACAGAAACAGCACTCACACAGAAACAGTGCACACATCAACACAACAATACATAGATGCAACATTCACAGGAACACACACACCCACACTCGTAGACACAACGTATACACAGCAGACACACAGGCACAACACTCACACTGGCTCAGAACTCAAACTGAAACAACATCACACAGACGCAAAACTCACTGACACTACATTCACCCAAATGTACACCTATCCCATAATACACAAATGCACATACATACACAGACACCCATACATACACATGCATACACTGTCGCCCATACATACACAAACTCATACATATCCACTCATGCACAAGCAGCCACGCATACACAAAACTCATGCATACACGAACACCAATGCACCCACTCATATATATACTAAATCATACATTAAAAAAACACACGCTTACACATACTCAGAAATACATATCACACATATACATATAACATACATATGAACATATCACACATACTTTTCTGTAATTATTAAATAATAATTTATAACAAATTAAAAATGGGTACATATGTAGAGTTCTGTTTTTGGGTTCCTGGCGATCACCGCGGGAGTTATGGAGTTAGTGCTTTGTACACATGTGTACAGTGTTCTTGACAGGTGACAAGCTCTCTATGGAGAGATAGTGGTGCAACTGTGCAGAAGTTTCTGGTTAGCAAAAACTTTGCTGTTCTCCACCAACCACCTTTTTGCCAGATCTGGCACTTGCCGACTACTTTATCTTTCTTAAGTTAAAATTTCCACCAAGCTTGGGATGTGTTTGAACTGTGGAATATCATGGAAAGATATAAAACCGAAAAAAAAGTATATCAGCGAGCTTCACAATATAACAAACACAAACAAAATGTGAACGCTGCTGCTATGGAGCCTTCTTCAGCACATACATAGATTTGGTCAAACAGTCACCTAATTCACAACACTTACCTATGTTATTAAATATAAAGAATTCACTTATTTGCTTCATTTTCGTAATTGTTACTGTAGTATGCACCTGACGAGATGCAGCAAAATATACCAGACAGTAAATTGTGCAATCTATTGTTTGTGTTCTTTGTTTAAATATATTTGTAAAAGTTGTCTGAAACCTTTCTAGCTGCATCTGGCATGGGTATATATGTATACATATGTTCTTTTTTATGACCAGGGACCCAGACAAGCCTCCTAAGTTCTTCTGTGTTCTGAGGCTGACTTCAAAAGCCCCCAACATGATCATTAGGCTCGGCTTCTTGGGTGGCACAGCAGCATCTCTCCGACTGGAGGAACTTGAGAATCTGAGAGACAAGATTAGAAACTTGAGATTCCCACAGAGGGGCACTCAGAAGTCCACCAAGAGGACATCAGTGACCTCAGCTCAAGGAGGCCAGGAGAAGAACAAACTACACAAGTCTCCTCTCAACAGGGAGGGCTCAGAAATCGCCTGTTGTGTAATACTCAAGAAGCCTGTGGAAAAAATCTTAGTTGTGTAAGTCTGATGTTATTCTTTGATGTCATCATCTTCAGTTTGTTGATCATCAACCTTTGTGTGATATTATTTGATTAAATGTAATTCAATTCTCATTATGCCTAGTGGCACATGAGGCTTCAGAGAGGACTTTCCATGCTTTCCTGTCCTGTTCAATCTTCAGTGCAGTTTTCCATGTCAAAGATGCCGCACTCGGGTCACTTTCCATCGTTCGTCTCCATGTTGTTTTTGGGCGCCCCTTTTTTCTCTTTCCTTCTGGTATCCATGTGAGAGCTGTATTGGCAGTTATATCAGGATTCATTCTCATAACGTGGCCAAGCCATTTCTATCTTCTCTTGGTTATCATACTGTCTAGAGTTTTTTGGTTTGTTACTTGAAGTGGTTTAGTGTTTGAGATTAAATGTAATTAGTTGTCCTTAAGTAATTCTCTTCTTCTTTCGTTCACTTGTTGTCTTTAGTATGAACTTCACTGTCTTTTTGTAATTCACTCAGCGGCCCATAAATTATGGCTTCTACTGGTGTTTCTTTTAGTAATTATCTTTAACTGATTGATCGTCTTCTTTGCATATGCAATCTTTTGATGTTAATCTTTGGTTAATTGTGTAGCTTTGTGGCTTAGACGTTAGTGAAATCGTTTCACAATGCAGTCCTCGATATTTACAAGCGTTCGATTCCAACAGGCTAGAACAGGGCTATTCAACTGGCGGCCCGCATGCCTAATGTGGCCTGCGGAGGCCTGGCTAGTGGCACACTGGTCACTGGTAGTTGTATTGTTCGAATTATCTTTCTATGCTGGGGCTTCGGTTTCTGGCCTGTAACGATCCCCATTTTGAAAAATTTGGCCCCATGAGTAAACTTAGCTGAATAGCCCTGACTTAGAAGAAAATATTTTATTGCTTTTAGTTCTTTAAAAATCTCTGGTTAGCTAATCATCATCTTTATATATGCTGTTCTTTGATATATAATCTTTGAATATTTTATCATCTTTGTGTTTGCTATTCTGTGATGGTAATCTTCTTCTTCGTATTCACTGGCTTTAAACTCCGGCAGAAAGTTCTGGTTGTTTGTCCACCTCTGGACTTTAGTCTTGTTCCAGAACCTGAGTGTTGCATGCACATCTGTTTAACAGATCTGACTTTATTGAATGCAGATTGTTGGCTCCTTGCCTCTCAGGCAGATGCACTCCAACTTTGAAAGAAGCCCCCAATTAGTCGCCTCTTATGACATGCTTGTTGGGGAGGCAGTGGGTCTATTCTTTTCCTCATAATGGGGCCGTGGAACCCACATGGGGATGTGATGCTAATCTTTCATTAGCTGATGATCATTTCTGCATCGTCATCATGACCGTTGTTTATGTGTTGAGTTTTTTCATAATAATGTTTATCTTTATTTAAAAGTTACCGTTTTATTATATTGTTTAAAGATATTTTATTTTGTTGGCCAAACAAGATAACAAAAGAATTGATGAAAACAAAAAACAAATAAATGTTCATCCATGGTGAACCTTATCAAAGCAAGAAGATGGAGGTGCTGTGGACATGTTTGTAGAATGCCTCATGATGCTTTGGCAAGGACAGCGGTGGATTGAAGATGGAAAAAGGAGACATGGATGATTTAAAGAAATCTGGACAGTAGAAAGGGAAATGGAAGAGTGTAAGCAGTTATGGGATACTATGGGCAGAAAAGCAGCAGACCGGCTACTGTGGAAATCACTTGTGAATGACTTTTGTATCAACAGAGTCATCATGAGGGTATAGATATAATCTACATTATTCTATTTGCTAAATAGACAAGCTTCTTTACAAGAATTTCTTAGTATTCATCCAATCTGGTAGTACCTGTTAACTACAGTGGGATTATTTTTTTAAAATGTCTGGTTCAAGTATAGTTGTTGGCTGAAAGTTTATACGTTTGCTACATGCAGATTTAATTGAAATGATTTTTAAAAAAAATATAGTGAAGACAGAAAAAATATTTATTGCATGCAATATAGAAATCATTTTCAACATATAGTTGGAAATCCTGGTTTTTTTTTGGTAACCAAGCGGGAAAATAAAATATCCTGAGGGTCACATATTTGGTTTTGCAGAATAATACTTAAGATTTCTTGGACAGAAAAATGGGTAATATAGATGTTTTGAAAGAAGCTTAGTGTGACGAGCGAAAGCTTGGCGTACAGTGTGACGTGCTGTAAAGGTTGCGTGGTGACGTGCAGCGTACCAAAGGTGAATAAGGGTGTTGCAATGTAACAAATGGCATCAACAACTTAATATGCCACTGGCCAAGTGTAACAACATGATGAATGTTGAAGCTTCCAAACATCGCGGAATGAGAATTCCCTTTAAAGGTTCCAACAGGTGTATTGATATATACAATGATCAACAGAAGGAGAAAATATGCAATTAATAATCCAGACTCATCCAAACACATCAATACAAGCCCGCTCGTACATCCATGGACTGATAAATTCTCACGATGGGTCGCAGTCCGACCTTGAGATCCAGACAGTCATCTCTATCTTTTCTTCCGCAGTCTGAATAAGGTAATAGAAGTATACTGGCTTACTGCCGAACTTTGACAATATACCAGCTTTCTGCTGAGGTTTATAGTCGAGTCCCGGGGTAAAACGTCCTCAAGGATCCAACTGTATACAATGTCTGCTTCCGTGGAATCCCGGGGTAAAGCGTCCTCAGGGATCCACACGTCCGTCTCCTTTGGACTGTAAAAATCAACTGCCTTTGACAACAATACCTTCACAACGTTACGTATTGTTTTGACGTCCTATTTGCTCACTCAGTACTGGTGCGTTCTAGTGCACATCGGCACGCGACTCTAAGACCCACAGGCAACCTATTGCAAATATGAGAACAGTCATTACTCTTTGACTATATTATGAAGAGTGGAAAAACGAACATTTTGCTATCATTGGAATCATTACGAGAGAGAGAGAGAGAGAGAGAGAGAGAGAGAGAGAGAGAGAGAGAGAGAGAGAGAGAGAGAGAGAGAGAGAGAGAGAGAGAGAGAGAGAGAGAGAGAGAGGGAGGGAGGGAGAGAGAGAGAGATTTTTTGAGAAGAGATGGGGGGGGGGGGGGGGCGGGAGACTTTTTTGTCATTTCCTGGAAAAGTATTTTGTACATGATATATAAGATCATAAGATGTGGAAAACTATGATCATCCACACCACTTGGCAAGGCATTGGTTGTAATGATTTGTTATATGTTGTTTATGCATATTCTTTTACTGACATTCAATTCCAGATATGAAAGCAAACCTCGAGATATGTCACTTGTGAAAGAGCCCATAAGAGAGACAAACAGCAGACAGCACATGGATCCCATGAGGTCTGTGTTTCGCACCATCACGCACTACCTGCAGCACCAGAGATGGGTGTGGAACATCCAGGCCAACAGCAAGACCACAGTCACCATGAGTTCCATCAGTCGAATGCTGGCCACCATAACCAGGTAAGTTCAGTTAGGATGTGGGGATGTTTTTGTTGCAGGAGAATGATGAAAACATCCTGGACAGGTAAAAAGCTCCCTGTGTGCATTCCTGGGCCCCATTGTAGGGAATAAAGGGAATAGACCCACTGCAGCCAACAGGGATGTTGTAAGAGTCTACTAATTAGGGGTGTTTCCCTCGAAGTCTGTCAGAAAGGCCAGGAACCAGCAGCCTGCATACAGATAAGCCAGATATGTAAAATAGATGTGCACATAAACCTCATGTTCTGGATGTTGGAGGGGAAGGTGGGTAAGATGAGGGTCTTCATGGCGAAGCTTCAAGCCTTCTTCCTCAAGATGTTAAGGCTGTGGGTTCATTTCATGGATACATTGTTCAGTTCACAAGTGCACATTTTTCCAAATACCCTTGGGGATTGTCATATGAGTGCAGAGTTTGTGCTTTGTTTGATGCTTTCGGCAGGCCACTAGCCTGTTTGTGGAGAGAGACCAATCCATGTGGGATAAAACTCTATGCAATGACTTTTTTTTAGGGGAATAAAATGTGGGAGAGACGTAGAGAGAAGATTGTGGACAGTTTAACATCATGGCACAGAGGAAATGATTGATAGTACACATAATGGAAGGTAGTTTAGTTGAAAAGTTTTTTTTTAAAGTGACTCAGTGGAGGGATGTGTAGAAAAGAAAGATTGTATTTGTGTTCCTTAGTAACTAAGTGAAAAGGGAAACAATCTTTTAATGCACTTATACAAATTCAAAGATGCTCACCCAGTGCTTCACATTTGCCACACTAGAAAACACCCTACGCATAACAAACTTTTTATATCGGAGACCTCTTGTTTTAAAAAAGAAATAACTGCATCCAGATAGCCAAAGAATTACACACAAAATATGTTTCAACTTCCTGACCCAAAAATAAAACTGCCAACTTCTTCCAAATGTTCACAGGCAAAACTGGCTGTCACCCAAAAATAACAATAAATAATGATAAACAATAACAATAACAATAAAAGAAACTGAAAATGTCACAAACTTTGATTATCTAATCTGTATAATAAATAGCAATGGATACTGTTTGACCGAATCAAAAGGAGGATGCCCGTAGCCATGCAAAGATTAAACAGCAATAAAAGTTAAGCACCAGCAAAGAAATCAAAATTAAAATTTTGAGAGCATGCATCTTCACTGTAGCAACATACAGATGTGAGTTGTGGGCTATCTCTCAGTCCTTAAGAAGGAAAATAGGGGCTTTTGAGCTGAAATGCTATACAGAGATTCTCAAAATACCATTGACGAAGACGAGACAAAATACTGACATTTTAAAAGATCTGAACATCAAGGAAGATGGGCTAATAAACAACATCTTGTCTCAGAAGCTGAAATATTTTGGTCATATCAAGCGCCATGGGGGATTGGAAAAAATAAAAGCAGAAGTCATGGTACCAGGAAGGGAGGGGGAGGGGGCCGACAAACACGAAGATAGGCACAGAATATAAGTGACTGCCTGAATATAAAAGTACACGAAGTCAGCTGACTGATAAGACTGTTCTGAGTTGATTGCACACCACTGTAACATTAAGATAAACAAAAGAGTAGACTTCATGGCAAAAACTGAGAGAAATACAGAACAGCCAGATACAAAATGCACTTATGAGAAAAATAAAGCCCAGATTAAATCAGCTATTAGAATTTATCGGAACAATTCTCATTTAGAAAACAATCCTGAAGAATTTTGGTTCAGCCTCCTCACAGGAACAGACCATTTTATTTAGATTGCAAACTCGACACAGCAGACTCCACTGCCATGTGGAAGAAATTCAAGATTTGGGTAGTGAGAACTTTGTCCGTGTGGACAGGCACCACCCAAGCTTCGCAGCCTTCATAGAAGCCTGTGAAATTCTCACCTAAAAATCACTGGGTGGGAGAAGGAGGGAAGAAGAAAGGGGAGGGGAAGAGAAAGAGAGAGAGAGAGAGAGAGAGAGGGGAAGAAGAGAGAGATATAGAGAGGAAGGAGAGAGAGAGAGATAGAGAGAGAGAGAGAGCATTGTACATCATTATCCTGTGTCTTTGTCAGACTAAGGTTACAAGAAGGTTTCCACTTTGCTGTGTCTGGATCTGGTGTCAATAACCTGGTGCTAGAAGTGGATATGAAGGTGATCATCTTTTGTTTTCCCTCACTGTTCATTTTGTTGGTTACATAGCTTGTTTGAACAAAAAAATGTTACAAATTCTTATTTTCTTTAGACTTTTTTTACCTTTCAATGTCAGGTTTTGAAGAGGCACCTGGTGCAAGCTTTGGTTTGTGCTATGTAGATGTTGGTATTCACGACCTCAGATAGTATATCGCTTGCATGGACAACCTCAAACTCTGCTTCTATTGAAGCAAGAGAAATTCACTTGGATAATTAGCAAATTTGATTAGAAAAGGGTAAGGGGAAGGCAAAGATTAATAGTCATCTTGACAAACTTGATGAGAAAAAGATAATAGGGAGACAAAGAAACGTGGAGGCTTCAAACTGAAACTTTTAAAGTGTGATAGGAAGTTTCAAAACAGTGTGATTTCTATGACAGACTGTGCCTGACCTGTTGCGCTCATACATTTGCTGGGCTGACAGGCAATAATCTCCATACTGGATCTTCATTCACCGCTGAATTTATTTAGGTCTCACCCCTTCATTGATTAAAAAAAAAAGAAACAATGGATAACAGAATGCTGCTCCTCTTTGGGGCCTGTCAAAAGTGGGGTGGCCCTCTTTAAACTGTCATTATGACATCACCGTTTTTTTTTTGGGGCACTATGATGCCACCTGCTTAACACTCTTGACATCCTTAACAATACTGACAGGTTACAAAAACATGGCATGGTTGTTGTAATTTATTTTCAAATTTTTAAAAATTCAATTTCAAGCCCCCATGTAAATAGTTATCTTGCCAATTTATCTAAACAGAACAAAAACACAGACTTGATCTTAGATTCTGGTAATACTTGAAGATGCTGAATTGTAACTGCTCACACTTATCAGCAAGGCACATGATGATGGTGATGATGATGACTTAACATCCACCACTCATTCTAAACCTGTTCACAAATGCCGTCTGATCACAACACACAGTTATTAAGAAAACAGAGACAACCCTTATTATGTAGACAGGTTATGCCTCAGTGAATTGAGTTTGCCACCATTACTGAATTGTTATTTGAAAGTTGATTGTAAATTATTACATCAAACTTGTTGTATTCAGTATTTATTTTTAAAAGTTAGTGAAAGATCAATGGCTGGAGGTAATTTGTACAAATGTTGCTAAACCCTTTTAAACCGGTAGCAAAAGTTGGAGAACAATTAACTCTTTGAGTCCCAGGGGGTTTAGCGCTGTCGTATGGCAGTTTTGTCGCGCACCTTTACTTACGGAATATTTTCACAAATCCCTCAGGTGCTCTGAGACAGGGGTGTTTTGAATGGTGGCTCTCGTTCGTCTAGAGGCCTAACCCTCGGTTCAAACTTTCCATTCAACCTGTCTCAGGAATGAGGTGACTCGAGCTCTGACTCCACAGGGTTACTATGAACTCTTGGGTACCTCTCGGCCAGACATCCCCATTACTAAATTTGCCCCCAGACTGGTAAACAATGCAACACAGTCAAATATGTAAACAACAGTGAATATGTCAAGATGTGAATACCTTTCTGACTACGACAATTAATTCACCAACAGTAAACCTTTCGAAGAACAGAAAGTCTTGTGAACTAAAACTTTGGTGTATTCAATACTTCATAACACAAAAGATCAAAAGTAGCACGAAGAACTAGAATGATTGTTCAAATCTCTGAAGAATAAAGATAGAGAAAAAATCTTTCTACAAAGCTACATCTCTTTCCGGAATCATCATTGCTGGGAGGTAGGAGACAGATTATGAAGGCACATCTGGAATCAAGCCGCTATAGGGTGTTACTTCGACTTATCTGGTTGGATCCTGCAGCTCCTCCGGGTGCCAGAAGGTAATACTGCAACGTCTCACTTCTCAGAAGATCTCCGCACAATGGCTAATATGTCTGGAATTGATTATAGGACAATCAACTCCCCAGAAGTTGGTAGATGTAGACTTTGTACACAGTCCACGTATTCAGTAAAGGTTGAACAACGCACGTCAGTTGCTTCCTTGGTGTTGGCTGATGGAACAGTACAACTACGCCACGGACGCTTGTTGGATAGTGGACGAGTACGATTACGCCTCGGACACTTGTTGGATCTTCAAAAATCTTAAAAAACACAAGGCAACACACATGAGCGAACCGTACCCAACGCACCTAGTTAATCAATATCCTTACCACCTCCACATGCTCAGATATAATTGAGGCTAGTCCAAACCATGAAGGTCGACTTCCTACATCTTGGAACCTGTGCAGTATCCCAGAGTGAGCACTAGAGTCGTATGTACGTTTCCATTAACTCGAATAGTTTCTGAATTCAGTCCTGTAGAGAAAGCCAGACAGATCTCTATCATTCCCCATCCCTCTAAATATACCCTTTTCACTAGTTGGAAAGATAAGGTATAGGAGATGAAGACAAAACCAAGATCGAAGGAAATACGCTCCGAAAGCATTACGACAGTCTAAGCTTGTTGTGGTTACAGTAGCTCCTAGCAACAGCGGATATGACATCATGCTTGACCCGAAGCTTCTTGTCGTTTCCAACGGTCCAGCGACTCACCAAGTTCAGAGACCGAATAAAAGATAACAACTAATCATACAAAGTTAACAATACCATAAATACACTCCAGATGTGTGGATTGATTGATCCGAAGAGGTTTAGAAAGCTGGCTCGAAGAATTCACTGAGAATTTTTAGCCGAAAGTGCATCCCAACCAGGATCGTTATCTGTCGTCCTTCCTCGCAGGCGATCGTAGACGAACAGATTCGCATTATCAATCTGCTGACCTTACTTACACACACATACAGGCACTGAGCACAAAAATTCATTTAAAACCTTTTAGGAAAACTCACCCATGACAAATGGATAAAGAGAATAAAGAAGCTTGTCTTTTTAACGGTCAAGTGGCTACAAAGTGCAATACGTTCGCTCACTTGAACGGACCATAGAGAAGTGACGTACAAATATACAGTCCCTATCTACGGCAGTTGGTGTAAGAATATGGCTCAAGTATATGGTGAAGCGGTCAGACAATTTATTTTAAATAGGCGTAGAAAGTGTGTCCTAACATGTAAATTGACACTAAAAGCCTAAAAGAATCATCTAAGAGTGATTTATATGGATTTCTCCTATCCGGACTCCCCCATAACAAACGAACTATATAACTACGGTCGGACCATCCGATATCATAGCTACAATGACGATTTTGGGGGTGTTCAGACTGTGGGCCTGCTCCTTGAGGTAGGTGTGTGGATTCTGTCATATGACAAGCGCCACAGGCCGAAAGGGTAGTAAAGAGAGTCATAAAATTGGCGCATCCTGCGTTCAATGGGCTTCTAGGTAGGAACCTATAAACGTATAATGCGTTCCTTGGGACTCAATGAGTTAAAGAGATGTAACACAAGTTGAATGCATTCGAAAAAATAAATGCATGAGGAAAAGGATGAACATAGTTGAGTTGATTCCCATAAGCATTCCCAAAAGCGCTCCGTCTCCATCTTCAGTAGCCAGAGAAGAGTTCTGATACTAATGGTGCCAGTAGCATTCTGATTTAACGCCCGTCTTTCCTTTTCTCTGAGCCTCGAGCATCTGCCAGAACCTCTCTTCACTCACCCTGCATCAATCTCACCAGACTGTGGTGATCCATTTGCTCTTCCGAACTGCACATGCTCTCCCACCAGGCACTAACCACGTCTGCCTTATCATGCATCAGTATTCCACCAAGTTGTGCAGAACCAGCCAGTCTGTCTGCCTGTTCATTTCCCAACACACTGGAATGATGGACATACAATTTTATGAATTCAAGAGGAATGAAGAAATGAGATCTGGGCAACCACTAGTATCAAAAATTATAAGACAGAAAAGATGGTGCTATATTGGATACATTCTGAGAGGACACAGAGAATCACCAGACAGGCACTGAAATGAACAACTGAGAGACTCAGGAAACGAGGATGTCCAAAAGGAACACTAAGGCAAACATTGATGAGAGTAGCCAAAGGTTTCATCCATGCATATCGGGGGCTGCGTGGTCTCGAGGTATGGTGTCCGCCTCAAGTGCTAGAGGTTCTGGGTTCAATCCTTAGTAAGGGCTGGGATTTTTTTATGCAGACTTGGACTTCTAGTAATTGCCCCTGGTCTCTGGGTAGTGAGATCAGACGTCTGTGTGCATTGTTGGGCACGTAAAAAATCACTTGGCAGTTGGAGATCGAAAAGAATAGCCTAACGGCGCTGCCCGGGCAAAATTTGGAGTTAAAAATCTACCCAAAATATTTCAGGATCTTTGCTGGTGCTAAAGAGCCTGTGCATTATGCTGAGCTTCTTCGGACTCAGACTTGAGATAGAATTAAAGCGGACCACTTATGGGTTACTACCCGTGTGTCATGATGTTGATCCGTTGTTAAATTTTAAACTTCATCGTCGAAGTGATTGCACATAATAGAATGAAATTAGGTAATAGACTGTGAGCCCTGTGTGACATATAAGGGCACAACAGGATAAGGAATGGATGAAGGCACTTGATAGATAAATTGGTCATTATCCTTTACTTTCCACAACATATGATACTTTTTTTTTTAAAGTTGGATTGACTTGAGAGGTGAAATTGTTAATTTATATTTGTTTTAAAATAGACTATATTATCTACTTTTATTGTGAATAGTTACAGTTGTTATGGTTTTATACAAGGTTTATTCCTTGTGTGGGTTTTATAAGAGCATGTTGTAAAAGATGACTAATTAGGGATGTTTCCTTTGAATTTGGAGTGCATCCGTCTGAGAAATGAGGAACCAACAGTCTACATACTAATAAACCAGATCTGTAAAATAGATTTGCACACAAAACTCAAGTTCCGGTAGGAGAAGATCAAAAAGTCCTGAAGTGGATGAACATTCATATTTTTCCACCAGAGTTAACAGCTGGTGAACACTAAGGATAAAAAGAAGATATAAGGATTGTTAGTTTTTAGTGCACATAATGTAATGAAATAGAGGGCTATCTAGACTTAGCCGCTTGTGATGGATAACATCAGAACATGATGATGATGATTATTGTTGGTTTTGTGGATTGAACTTTAAACTTTTTTTATTCATCACTTTAAGTTGTGTCTAATAATATCTCACAGGAGAGTGGAGACTGCAGTGAGGAAGACACGTCAAACATTCAGACTTGTGTGGTGCAATATATCATTTTTCCTCCGCACACAAAAGCCGTTGATGACAGGTAGGGAAAATATGTTTTGGTGCTGCCAAATCATTTTTATTAACTCAAAACTTGTAAAATCAAATATGGTTGCTGGGAGGGGGGTCCTCCATGATGAAGTAGCATGGCTTATTGGTCCGCGCCCCCCCCCCCAAAGTCAAAGTAAGACCGGGTCTTACCCCCCCTCCCCAAAGTAAGACTGGGTCTTATATACATTTTTGCTTTGAAAAAAATGCAGTAGGACTTTTTTCAGGGGATATCTTTTTGTTTTTTTGTTTTTAACCATTAAAAAATAATCTACATTTATTCCTGTACAAAATTCTAAATTTTTTTCAAGTACGGCTGTGTCATCTTTTTCTGGAACATCATCATAACTCTCCAAATCCTGAATTCCGGCCTAAATTTCTTGCAGCTTCATTTCTTGTAGAATCATTGGCCCCCAAACATTCATGTCCAGCCATAAAGCTTAGTTTAAATTTTATCTAATGAGCTTAACTAAGGTTTATTTTTTTGGGTAGGGCTTATTTTTGGAGAACATACTATCTACATCATCTCTGAAAGTTTGGAGTATGGTTTTGGTCTAATCCTTCAGTGTGCCAGTGAGGTTGTTTCAGAGGCCTTTTTAAGCATCATTGCTGGAGTTAATGTAGTTTTTATGGGTTTAAAAAAAAAAATATTTAAAAATGCTCTTGGTAGATGAACTGTTGCTTTCCACAAATACCAATCCAAGTGGGATAAAACAGGGTGTATCAAAGTGCTCTTCTTCTTCTCCTTCTCCTTCTTCTTCTTCTTCTTCTTCTTTTTCTCCTCCTCCTCCTTCTTCTTCTTCTTCCTCTTCCTCCTCTTCCTCTTCCTCTTCTTCCTCTTCCTCTTCTGCTTCTTCTGCTTCTGCTTCTTCTTAGCATTCACCTGCTGTAAACTCTGGTGGAAAGTTCTGGTTGTCTGTCCACTTCTGGACTTTGGTCTTGTTCCAGAACTTGAGTTTTGCTTGTGCATCTGGTCTACATGTCTGAGAATATTTTTATGCAGACTGTTTGTTCCTTGCCTATCAGACAGATGCACCCCGACTTCAAAAGAAAGACCCATATTTGGTTATCTCCCACGACATGTATGTTTTGGGGGGGGGGGGAGGGGGAAGTGTCTCCCCCTTTCCCCCCACACACTCACGCGCGCACACACACATGCGCGCACATGCGCGTGCATGCACGCACGCACACGCACACACACACACACACGGCCACACACACACACACACTGTTCCAGGGTCCCGTTTCAGGGAAGAAGAAAAAACAAACACACCTACTGTTTCAACAACGATTTCATAAAAAGTAATTAGGAATTTGCTAAAATTGGATGTGCAGGGCTGAAAGGTGCAGATATCCAAACCTAACTGTAAACCACAACACAGCTTGCCAAGCACCCTCTAAGGGCTACTGCGGTAGGTGAAGAAGAAACTCTCTTGTTTTTAAAAAATGGAACATGGTTTACAGCTTCTTTGCAAGAATGCTGTCTTTAAAAAAAAATTGGATGGGAACAAAATAGACTTATATTTACTCTTGTGTCCTCTCTACCCTCTCTGCATTGAAATGGTAAAGCGACTTCTGTGTGCCAGTAAGACCCTGTTTGACAGGGTCTCCCATGTTTGACAGGTTAAGGGGTAGGAACCAGATGAAGAGAGACGGAAGTATTCTGCTTTATCGGTAGACTGGTACATGCAATTCTGTTACTGTATAATATTGCTTGGCTATCGTGTGCAGTATTTCTCTATAAAACATTGTTTTTTTTTTCTTTGATGCCTACTTAGTAAAGGCACTTTACCTGCCAGTGGCATGTTAAGCAAATTGTTTGCTAGCTGCATATTTTAAAGTCCAGTTGGCACTCAGTGGGTGACAGTCAAAAGCTTGTGGCTGTCTTTATTTTCCAGGATATTTCCTGAACCTATTTAAGTCTATGTCAACTCTGTCGGCTGAGTCTATGCGAACGCTTCCTAATGCCGGGGTGCCGGGTTCAATCCCAGCTGTGGGCCATGCGCCTTGCGTTGGTTTCGACAGTGGTATCAGTGGTCTGACCGTCCAGAAAGCAATGGCAAACTACTGGCCGTAAATTTGCCTAGAGAAACCACACAACAGCCATGGGCTGCTGGGGTCGGTTCTGCAACGTCCTGTACAGGATACACAACTAACCTATTTAAGTCTATGTTGACCTGGGAGCCAGTCATTTAAAAAAAAAAAAACCCAAAAAAACTCCTGAGTGTATTACAAGATCTTCAGCCCAACAGGCAATGGTCTAGCTATTGCACTACCATGTTTCTCACCCAGCAGCTCAACTGAGTGAAATTATGTGGCGCACTTAAGATGCTAAATTTGCTTGTCACATTCTACACACACATCATCTGAAGCATCAGCTGTCCATATTGTCTCCTGCAGTTTATCAGAAGATGATCAGGAGACTGAAACAACAGAAGCTGACAGCGAAGTCCAGATAGTGACTGAATGTTGGGTGGAGCCACAGTACGGCATATGTTGTAACAACACTCCAGAACGACAACATTTTAATGGACTGACATATCTGGACATCGCCAAAGCCGTGAGTACTTTCATGTATTTGTGTGTTTTTTGGAAGCCGGCTAGTGGACACTTGAATGGGAGGAATAACAGCGAAATGATCAACAAATCCAGTGTCATCTTCTCAGTTAACTCCGTTCTTGCTTCAGCCACCTTATGTTCCAAAATGTTTCGGCTTAAAGCAGTAAATATTTTGATGAATTTCAGCAGAGACATTACAGAACAGAAGTAGTTCAACTGATAGTTCAGATGCAAGGAGTTAATATAACATCTGTCTGTGATAGAAGACAATAGGAATATTATATTGTTTTTGGAAATACTAAGAAATATATGCTGAGTTGTTTGGCACTAAAAAAGTTAACTCTTTCACCCTGAGAAGCCGAAAAACCAACAATTCCGGCTGGGTCCAATTCCCAATAAATATTACTTTTCCTACTTGTCTGTAGTCACCTGTTCACGAGACACATAGTTAATGCTGTTGACTGTTTTCACACCTGTGCAAATGTGTAGGTGGTCAGGATATCTTCTTCTTCTTCTTCACGTTCACCAGCTGTACACTCTGGCGGAAAGTTCTGGTTGTTCATCCTATTCGGTCCTGCTCCAAAACCTGAGTGTTGCATGTGCATCAGTTTTACAGATCTGATTCACTTGAATGCAGACTGTTGGTTCCTTGCCTCTCAGGCAGATAGACTCCGACTTCAAAGGAAGCTCCCAATTAGTTGACTCTTACGACATGCTTTTGGGTAGGCCGTGGGTCTATTCTTGTTTTCCCCACAATGGGGCCCCGGATATGAATTCATTGACTAAAAATGGAGGAGGGGATGAGTCCTTTAAGCCAAATAGCTTTGCTAAAGCCAAGTTGACTTCAAATATTCCTGTAATCCTCAGTAATAGAGGTTAAAGGGTCATGGTATTAGTAACCTAATACGTATGTGATTTTTAGGCCCTGGGTAATTTGTTTCTATATAATGCTTCACCATGTTCATGTTTATTGATTACTTCCTTTATATATCAATCTTTATATCAGATCTTTTTCATTGTTTCCAATTTCTTGTTTATAAATGGTAATATAAGACATGGTTTTTGGAAGAAAGATAGGTCTTTGGTCACTGTGACATAGGACACAGCATTTTGAAAACACATTGACTATAAAAATGTTTAAGAAAATTGAATTTTTGAAGAACTGAGAGCCTTTCTGCTAAACTGTGATGTGAGCGACATTATGTAGAGGACTTGCAACATGGTGATAGTGCATTCTTGCTTGTCTGCTCTTAACTGTTGGGGGTCACCAACTTAACTCCAGTAAGGTGTCTTTTAATGTATCCAAAGTATTTGACCTGTCTCATAAATGAGTTCGAGCCATTAAGTAAAGGCAGTTGCATTAATTAGGTTTTTACATGCTGCTGGAACAGATTGTTCTCTTTCCTATTTCTCGAATAATCTCCTTGCCTTGCGAACATGTTGTCCACCGATCCACAAGATTGTGGATGCCCGCCAGGTAGAAGCTTTTGGGTGTGGCCAGTAACCAAGTTTGCACCACCGACAACAAACACCTCATTGTCATCTGCACGTCTCTTACCCCACAAATGTTCTTTCAATGGGCCAGACAAATGAAAGCCAAAATGTGGTCAAGGCTGGGCTCTATGCTGGATGGCATAGACTTTAAGCAGAAATTCTGTTTTACTTTTATATATCAAGTTTAGGGGCCATATGTTAATATGGTACATCTTGTAAGTCTGAAATGTGCATGAAACTTTAATCCAAAAACTCATTAACAGCTGGATTAAAAAAAAACAAAAAACTGTTGTAGAATTATTTTCATTCTTCAATGAGTGGTGCGCCTATTATTTCAATTGGCTTCTTCTGCTGCACTGTATTTTTTTTATAAACGCCATGTGCCTCGTACTCCTCATACATAAACTGTCCCTCGGACTGCATATGTGGAGACCCATTGTACAATCAAAAGTTTTTTCCTGATCAAGCTGAGACCATTATATTTCTGATATTCATCTGTATTTGGAAAGCTTTTTTAGGAGGCCCTATGGTGTAGCGGCTAGATGCTAACCTGCAGATTAGAAGGTCGTGGGTATCAGTCTAGCTCTAAATGCCCAATACATCTGAAGGTCTGGAAGAGGGTCCTTTGCTTTACTTTATTTGGAAGGCTTTTTAACCCTGTTGCCTCAGGAAAGCTATTTTTCCGGCATTTATAGGTCTTTTCTGACATGAAGACTTGGGCCAATGGCCACTATGCCTGTATAACAGCTTTAGTATGACTGACTGACGTTCAACCCCACTAGGACCGCACAACGAGCAATAAGCACTATGACACAAAGTGCCACCATCCGGATGAGAATCACCCGGGTACAAGTCCCAGAAACCCCGTTCAACCCATAGGTTATATTTAGGGCCCCTGACAACAGCCCGGATGAAGCTTTAAAATAACACAAACAAATTGTGTCCCACATTGGGACGGCGATGTAGTATAATAACTTTGGTACTGACTACAACCGCAATCTGTGTAGAGATGGTCAGTATCACTAAGTATGGCCAAAAACAATTTATGATACTATTTAGGGTGAAAAAAATGATAGACATGACTACCAATGCTATACAGCATAGAATTTAATAATAAGAAGAAAACAATGCAGTTGTGAAAATTGCTATGTCTGTCTTGACCTTATAATATTCTTGTATGTACTTGGCTAAGTCAGCAAAACTACGTTTATTGTGGTCAGCTGGAAGTAAGGCAGAAAATTATGTTTTTTTAAAAAATTTAGTGATCATTTCCCTTCTGATGAGAAAATGCACTTTATACATTTGTAAATTATAATGACTAAAAAAATATTTAAAACCATTATTTAAAGCAACGTGATAGCCACGATACATCAGTGACCTTAATGTTTTCCTATCTTGTCGGTGTTCTAGGGGTTTAACCTGGACTTTTATTTTAATTTTAAAACACCCCAAAAAAACCATCAAGGCTCCAGATTTCTTCTGCTTCTTCTCCTCTTCTCCTAATTTGTGGGGGTAATATTAAAGAATTACAAGGATGCGTTTTTTTTGTTCATGAGGCCGCAGCCACAGAATAGAAAGATCATTAATACAGTACAGTTGGCAGTGATGCGCTGGCCACTTGCTACGCCTCTATGGGCTTCTTGAATAGTCCTGTTGTATATGGCAGTATTGTTTTGCCTTCTGGGCTTATGACAAGTGTTGTGGAACTTGACAAGCATATGTTGAACAGGCAGAGCAATAAATTTTACAAGATTGCAGTGTGAGTCGTCAGCTTTTGGGCGTAATATTGGGCTTTAGATATGAACACCACATATTGTTTTTGAAATACAAAACATGCTGAAAGGATAAGAAGAGACAGAAAGAGTGTGAGTGAGTGAGCAGGAGAGAGAGCATATGAGAGAGAGAAAGAGAGAGAGAGTGTGTGAGTGAGAGAGTGTGAGAGAGAGAGCATGAGAAAGCATGTGTGTATGAGAGAGAGAGAGCATGAGAGACAGAGCATGTGAGATAGAGAGAGAGACAGACTGAGAGAGCATGAGTGAGAGAGCGTGAGAGAGAGAGCATGTCAGATAGAGAGAGAGAGGGGGGGGGGAGAAATTATTAGACATTTAAAAAAAAATGTCTAAATTGTTGTGTGGATGTCACTAGAACGGTCACCAAGTCTGCTTACAGCTTTATCTCACATACACTAACAATAATTTTAATATGGATATTTTTCCATTGAGATAATAATGACCAAGAAAAAAAAAATATTCTCGTGTTTTTTATTTGTAATCACTCATCGCACTAATTCTACTCCTGCTATGCTGACCTTTTTCTTCTTCTTCTTTGATCCTTCTGTCAGAAAACTTATATCAGGAGGCCGGTAGCGTTTATGGAAGCTATCATGCAGTCCTTATCTTCTCGTGTACTACACAGTTTTGTGTCTTCACTGTGGTTGGAACAGGCCAGATTAATGATTGGAGACATGAAATTGGTTGAACTGCAGTCATTGACTACTCTTAACACCACTTTAAACTAACTCAGGGAGAGAATATGGGGGTGACTGCAGTGAAGCTAATACAAGGAATTCCAGAGAAATTTTGACTAAAAAGCTCTACAAAATGGGGAAGCAGAAAATCGTGCACAAAACAACACAAATAACATAACATTTCAGTCGGGCAGCCTTTGTCAAACTACACCAAAAAAACGAGGAGAGGAGAGTATACAGATCTCTAAGGGGTGACGTGGGCAACTTAAAAAAAAAAATGTGATGTGGAATAAATGAAATGAAATAAAATAAAATGGCTAAAAAAATATAGTCGCAAAAAATAAAAAGTAATATTTTTAATATAATAGGGGCAATAAAAGAAATACAAATGTTAATGATACATAAATGATATCGATAAGAGATAGAATAATGTAATAATCTATATTATTAAAAATGGTAATTTTCCTAATTTGCTAACTATAGACTTGGAAACTACTGAGCCGATTGCTTTCAAATTTTCACACAACGTTGCATTTGACTCAAAGCACGATATTTTGTCATAAAATCACATAAACCACGAACGACGTAGCTCCAGCAACTGTCATATCATTATTTGTTTTGTTGCCGGCCCGGATTTGTTTTTAGTTGATTGGCTACCTTCGACTGCTAAGCAGGGCTGCCAATAGATGCCTTTATCCCTAGGATCAATCTCCGACATTTCTTTACTGATCGCTTTCAAATTTTCACACAACATTGCCTTAGACTCCACACGTATTTGTGTGTATGATTTTTGCACAAACTACGAATGATGTAGCTCCAGCAACGATCATTTCATTAGTGGTTTCGTTGCCGGCCCGGATTTGTTTTTAGTTGATTGGCCACCTTTGATTGTGTAACACTAAACATCATATTATTATTATTAGCCTATATAATTTCATTTCTACTAAATGAAATAGCGTAATTGTAGGCAATCCGCCTTTCACCCGGGTGATTGGCGTTCGATTCCCCGCTGGATGATAAAATTTTTTTTAGGGTCCCCT